GATACAGATACAAGCTGGTCTATGCTGTTTATGTATTTCTGTCAACCTCATTCTTTCAGACTTCTACATTTTTATGCTGGGTTTAAACTTTATGATTGGTTTTGTTCTAACCCATACCTACTGATTAGGTTTTACATTTTCGCGCTTTTTACTTTCACATTTTTCGAGGTCATCTTAATGTAATTCTAAATGTGGTAACTGTGGTTAATAAAGTATTTATTTTTATACTAGACGAAACTATCCAGTTGTTGTTTTTAATCAAGCTCAAGAAATCAGTTAAATAATACCATTCTATTTTCTCTAGCTGTCTTGCTGCAATACACCCGAAGGTAAAATCGCTAAATGCTGCCAAGGTCCAAATATGAACAATAACGCCCTTTGTCCATGTACTACAACTTGTTGGACTGTAATTCAAGAACGATTATCAACTGGGGTTCGAGTTACTGGTGCCACTAGTCTCTTCTTCAGCGTTATTGAAGTGAGTTCTTGTCTTGCAATCATGATGCGGTTACTGCTATTTTATGCTATTACTAGTTTAATATGTATTTATATCGACTAGTTACCTTTATAGCATACAGTCCACATGCAACCGATAGAAAACTATAACCGTGCCCATAATTTTAAAATAGCTGAATTAGGTTTTCTACTATAGTATGACCTTCGACAATCATATTAAGAGGGTAATTAAATGGGATTAAATTACCTGGTAAATATTTTCCACGCTCATCATGGTCATTTTATGCTATTGTGTCAATAATCAAATTTTTGTGGCTTATTTTTGCCATCCACCGTCAGTGTTTTTACACGAGTGATCACTCACAGTTGATGAACGTCTATTGATAACTAATGAACTCATTAAAGCTCTTGTTTTTAACCCCCACTATATTCTTGCTTTTGTATGTTTAAAGTGGGTGTTAAGTTCCCATGCTCTTTAATTTACAGAGTAGTGTCGATCTTCATTTCTAAACATCATTTTAAAGCTGCTTGCATGTAGGTCCGATTATCTGTAACACCTACGTTTTGACTAGGTGTTAAACTCACTATTTATTTAAAATAATTGCTTCCTGGAGCTATTTCTGGGGTTTTAGATACTATACCGAATTTTTCATGTTTGCAGTACAATAAGCGTAATCGCCGAAACAAATTTACCAAACGCATTCTGGAACAATTAGAAATCATTAAGATTAGTTGTTTAAAAATAGTGTCTGGCTGTTACTGGTTCTTCAATGATTTATGAAAAATAGTTTTACTAAAATCTCTCTGTAGTGGGTAGCCGTTATTTATTTATAGTAAAAAAATGCGGAATAAAGTATGACAAATTACTGTATGCAAAGATGGATTCCGTTCATATCGAAGGTACATCTCACTTCATGACAAACTCACTACAAAACTGAGATGAAATAATTACTGGCTTCGTTTACGTCTTGATGTATGACCTATGGGATCCCATTAAAGGAGTCACAATAAACCAAATGATCTTTATATAAAACAACTGTTTGTTCACTTGTCTGCATAAAGTAAATAGGATTTGACTAGCAGTGGAATCTAAGACACCTTTCATCCTATTCGGTTCCAGATTTCTGGATGTTCCTGTGTACCGGAATTGATATCTGTTCCGAAACTCATTCTATTATCATCTAATTAACTGCCTACTAAATATCTGTTCCTGTTACTCTTGTGCGCAGAATAAGTTAAACGTGATAGATGTAAATTTATTCGTCCTATTTAGCCTAAGATATGGATATTGTAAATGTTTGTGTGTGTGTATTTGTCTGTTATTCAAATGTAAAAATTTAAGAAAAGATGAAGTCTTGTGTGAAGAAAATGACAGAAACTCTGATAATAGGAGTATGGATTTAGGTGTGCTCAAAAATACCAGATCAACGATTCCTAATGTGCTTTTGAAACCAATAATTGAACCCAAATTTTTTCATAATATGTGTATGCATTATTATAACTCTTTAGTCAATAAATTCTTAGAATTTTCTGTTATTAACTTGTTGTCTTAATTATCAATGTTTTATTTGTTTATAGCTTCTAGGAGTATGGATAGCACTTCGTTACCGACACCAACGTGATCCTCTACTTGATCCAAATAGCGTTCTCTAAATTGTTTCTTTCATATTCATTGTTATGATTATTTTTACTACTAGTATCATATCATATTAATTACGCAACATTTCATAGATGCTTGTAATAGAATAATATTTGTCACATGAATCAATTCACTCTAGTCATAAATACTGTCAAAGTTGACTCAAACTCTTGACCTTCTATTTATTTCTTTGCCTGTTTTCATGCATTACTGCTTTCATTGTTTGCCAATTTTTTCTCTAATTTATAATGAATATTATTTCCACAAGTGATAAAAGCCTCTATAATAAACACTATTGTCATTTATTCAATAACAGTTTGCGTTCCATCTATACAAATTTATGCTTATTTACTTGTAATCCATTCTATGCTTGTTTATTACACAATAATTATCTTCATTATGACTAATGTTATTTGGAATTAGTTGAAAAAAAACTGATGAAACATTAAATAGATTTTGTGTAAATAATTCTTCTCCAACCGCTTTTTATTAATGTGTACACACACACACATCTGCTCTAGGTGTGATACCTAGTGGGTTGTACGGAATTTCTACTGGTACGTACATTGATCGTTGACAGTTTTTTTTATTTTACTGGTATTTGGTTATTTTTGGGTTATGATCTGATAAGTTGTAGTTCAGTTGTATTAATTAATAACCCACATGTTCGTTTTTGTTTGTCATATTAATGCGATCAGTTTTTCTCAATACCATCTATTAATTTCTTAGAACCCATGATTATTGTTAGTTTTTAATAATTAGCTATATACTAACAATTCCATTTGCGCTTCTGATAGCGGGAGAGTCAATGAGATCATTATTAGAATGGTTGACTTAACTGTTATAATAGGAAATATCTCAAAGCTGGGAACATGAGTTTGCCAATGGTTATTGAATTTTGTCTTAATCAAATTAGTTAACTGGCTGGTTCATTATTCCAAAAGTAAGTGACAATAATAATTGCCTATTGTTATGTTTGGTGCAACATGTTTCATTTTGACTATTATTCTCATATGTAAAGTGACCTAAAGAACACCGATTGCAAGCTATCTAAAAGCAATATTCTATTAAAAGATCACTGCAGAAAATAAACTTTCGATTCAAATCATTCAGTAACTAATAAACGATTTTAATCTTGTGAAGTATTTTGTGTACTTTCTGTTCATCGAAATAGTTTACATATCAATAAACTTTGCACCCAATGTGTTTATGAGTTAATTTTTAATATTTTTAATTGATGAACATAATTGCTAAGTTTTATTTAGGTAATTCAATTATTTGTTATTCAGTACCGTCAAGAATAATTTGATACTAAATTGTATGAAGGTGTTTCGCTTATTGCTTAAATTTTCAGTTGAAGTCATTTAGCTTAATAATATCAAAAACTACTATCCGAATTAACGACTGGTACATGTAAATCGATATCACTTTTAAAAAGGAAGAAGGTTATCTCATTAGTTCAAAATATGATTATCCATTTATTAACTTACTGCTCTATAACAAACAGGAAACAAACTTGATTGTCATCGACTTGCAAGGATAGTATATTATATTTTCAGGTACTTATCACTCCAATAGATTAATACAAGTTATTATATAAGCATACAAATGAAGTGTGTAGAAATGACTAATTTTACTGAACATTCAGAATATTTTCACTCAGTATTTTTTTCTTGATAAGCAGCTCATTATTGTCCTACACAAATATATTCTTGGTATAATAATAGATCAAGTAATGTGCTACATAAGCCAAAATGACTTGTGAAGAGTAGAGCGGGAAAATAATCATAGTCGGGAAACGAGAGCGAGGATCCGGTGACACGACATGCTACTCTAATCCGATTGTTCCAACCCCCATATTGAGTAAAAAGAAGAAGACTTGATATGAAGTAGAACCTATATTCTACAAACATCCAGAAAGTACGAGGTCCGAGTCCAGAGGAGAATCAAGATCCCGGACTAGGGATCCTGGTCCGCGTCATAAAACGTTACAGATAATGCGTAGTTATACATTTAGATCGAATAGGAAACAGCATCAAAGTCTGTGACATTGGAAGTTTAGACGACCAATAAGAAACAACATTTGAAGTGACATTGATATCTAGGACGACCATAAAATTGACCAGTAGGGATCAACCAATAAGATTTGACCAATAATTCTCTTAGGATATCGGATGAATAATCCTAACACTATGAAAGTTGTTTTCATTTTTAATGATCCCGAAAAGAACTAAGTAATGAAGGTCTTGCCTACGCTATTACGTAACTATAGAGTTTAAGGAACAATCACTTGACGTTCGTCGCATATGACCTTCTTGGTGAATAGTTTTTGATGCATAAATTCTTATTTTTCATTCCTGAGATTCATCCATCCTTTATAGACCTTAACTTCTGTACTTAGTCTTTCTGACACTATTTCGACTTTCTATTCAACTTATCACTCTCAAGTTCGGTTTGACGTAATAAGTTAGTCTGACGTATATTTGTGCCAGGTTATTCATTAATCGTGGCCTACTTATCGTGCATTATTGTAAAAGATCACATTTATGTAATAATAATTCAACAGTTTCCATTTTTTTTATATTCTAATGATTATCAGCTTATTATGGAGACTAACTTTCAAATCATTGATTGACTATTTAAAGCATCCCCTTTTGTCTGAGAACAATTACTATTCAAAGTGTGTATTCATTTACTTATCCGTTAATAATATCCATTATCTAAGCTATAATATATTGTCAAGTTTTCTATCAGACATTTTGGAATCGCCTGAAAGCATTTTCATCATTATTTAAGTGGATTTTTTTTATGTAATGTAGAAAATAACATAGAACACACAATGAGCATGTTTGTTTTGTTTCAGTTAAAATAAATGAAATCTAATAAAATTCATACATAAAATAGATTCATTCTTTATTTTTTTTTTTAAATTTATTTATTTATTCATATTGCATTTTTATTTTGACATAAATTTACAAATTTTCTTTCTCAAAGATAAAGCACATTCGATAATATTTTATTTACCTGATAAGCATTATTTTATTAGTTTAGTTTAAATCAGTATAAATCTTTTCATTATTGTTAGTAGTAGTAATAATAATAATAATAATAACATTAGAAGTAGCTAGTTCACAACAACAGTCTTAGTTTAAAACAATTCAGATACAAGTCTAACATTGTTATTCATGTCATTGAATGTGGATTTTTTTGCTTCAAGATGAGATTTACGCCCAGTATTATCATAATTAGTATAATTTGGATCTTCTTTATTAATATTATTACTATTATTATTATTATTGTTATTGTCAGTATCAGTGATATTAAATTGTTCCGGATCCATACCACCATAACAAATTGTACCAATTTCTAAGGATAATTCAGCATCATACAATTGATCAGTTGTTATTCGAATATCACGAATTGGTAATAAAGTTGGTTGTTTTGTACGTACAGTGAGTAGGAGACTTCCACTTTGTCTGTGCTAATAAGCAAAAAATAAAATTACAAGAAGAAAATCAATAATTCAACTTGTTTTCTCTTCAAAGGAACAGATAAAACTCAATTTCATAGCCATAAGTATTGAACGAACTTATATGTAAATGTAATCTGTAGAGATGAAGAATTGATTTGCAAAAAAAGACAGTATTCAGTTTTAAGAGATGTAAAGAATGAATATAGCTACGTTTATGAAAATACTTTCAAGTATTGTTACAAATAGACTGCAGTTCTGTAACTAACAGTTTGTCATACATTTAATTTTTTGCATATAACTGGTCGATAAAATGTACTTTGGATAGTGTAGTTAGTGTTCATAGTCTCTAAATAACTTAAATTACTGTATATTTCTTGTTCAAATTCACTCACATTCATTGAAAAACTCAAAGGAAGTAAATTTAAATGGTTTCTGTAAAACTGTGCATAAATAATTTCGAGTACATAAGCTTTACTGAAGTCAGCAAAAATCAGGTCATTGTAATATTAATACTTGGAGGTTGTTATTTGATCACATAGTAAATGAAAATCTTTTCATGTAAACTTAAGATAGTGGAGAAATTTCATCAGTCAGTCAGTCAGATGCAACGTAGAACTTTGTACATAAGTACATCAGTTCATGTTATCATACCACATCAGCACAGAGAAGTAATCATCAATTCAAATCCAATAGTAGAAGAGGTAGTAAGGGAATTAGAAGTAATCAGAGAGGTTAGGATTAGAAGATACTACTCAAGAAGTATGATTCAGTGAGAAAAGTTTAGAGAGTCGAAACTAGAGATGTTGAAGAATCCAGAAGATTAGGATTTGAGAGAACACAAAGAATAAATGCACTGGCGCCATTGCAAACGATTTTGAGCCATGTCATTCAAGGTCTCTAACCATCGATTATTATCATCTCGCGGACCCCAACCAGGTAGTCGACAATTACCGACATGGCTCAGTCCACTAGTCAATGACTTCATGGATTTCTGCCATGTTTTGGTTTGGCCGCCCCTAGCTTTCTTTCAACCTATTCCTACTCTACAAAACAAGGTTCGACGAGGCAGTTGGTGGTTGGGCATACGCAACACATGTCCCAACCACCTCAACTGATGAAGTTTCACCACTTCATCTATTGACCTGCCATTCTTACCTAGCACCCGATTCCTAATAACAGCATTGCTCACTCGGGTGTCCCAGGATATACGAGCAATGCTTCGAAGACACCTATGATTGAAAACCAGTAACCTACGAATATCTTCTACTCTCACTGGCCATGTTTCACAGCCATAAAGTAAGACGGAGCGAACCACTGCGCAGTACACTCGTCCTTTAGTCAGCAAACGGATATCTCGCCTACGCCATAAGTGACGCAGGTTGGCAAAAGCCAATCGAGCCTTCTGTATCCGTGCTGAGATTTCGTCAGTCACCCGGCCATCGGCACTGATGAGACTCCCAAGATAAGTGAAGCGGTCTACACGTTCGACTACTTCACTCCCTATCACTAGTCCAGGTACCGATGAAACCCAGTCTTGAAGCAACATTTTGCATTTCGAGGGGGAAAACCGCATCCCGAACATGCTTGCATTGTTGCTTAAGGTAGTCAGAAGACTCTGCATTTTGTCAGCGTCTTCACCGAATAGAACTATGTCATCGGCATATTCTAGATCATTAAGCGACTTTCCTGGTAGAAGGTCTACTCCTGAAAATTCAGACGAGGATAATGTTATGTCTAGGAGCATGTCTATGATAAAATTAAACAAGAATGGAGAAAGTGGACATCCCTGACGGACACCACTTGATGTAGAGAATTCCGGTGACAGTTCGCCATAAGCCCTCACTCGACCAGTGGTGTTCGAGTAGAGAGCTTGTATAAGGTTAATGTACTTCATAGCTAAGGTGGACGATTTCGGTAGAGTTTCGTTCTTTGAACAAAATAGTGTGTTCGTGGAGTTGTTATTCTTCTTCTGAAAATAACATCATCAGCACAAACTTCAGGTAGAAGTATTCGAATCTAGTTCAGAGAATCAAACTCACTAAAAACTTAACTTATTTGTAATGTTACTAATCGCTACTTCTATTTTTTTTTTAAGTTGAATGCTTTACTTTCTTTTGTAAAATTACTGTGTTGTAATACAAAAAGCAATTTGTTTTTTTTGAAAGCATTGATTGATGAATCAGAATACCATCAGCAATCAATGTTAAGATAGAAAATGTTATAGAAGCTTATCGGTAGTAACGATCAATATTAAGAATCTATGATGTAGGTATTCTATCCGGTGTTTTTATTCTTTACCTAATTTTGAGTTTTTAATGGGATTGCTTGCAATATTAGTTTGAGCGTTAGTGTCAGTGAACGCTTTCAAAGTGAAAATAACAACTATTTCCTTACGTGGTGTTATTCTAGACAGTATTCAATGTGACGACATAGGGGAATATAAACCAGTGACCTTGAATCTTTAAGTTTCTTCATTTCCTTAAACACTGGGTAGATAAAATTCAACAAGGACAAAATATAGAAAGGAAAGACACCAAACTCTGTGCTATAATATACTAAGTATGTGAAAAAAAATTATAAACCGCTTGGATCACCTTATTTTTGAAAGACTAATTCAATCAATATGATTGTAATCTTTGACTGATTAAACTTAATACATTTCGATCGAACACATTACGCCGAGAAATAGAGAAAGACATGAGAAGAATGAACAAAAACTGGAAAGAACTAGGAAGGGAAGCCCAGGACAGAGTTGGTTGGAGAAAACTGGTGGGCGGCCTATACTCCATTGGGGGTAACAGGCGTATGTAAGTAATTTTGATCGATTAATTAACCATTATATAAACTTTATACATCTACTCCGTACAACATAGATTTCCTTTCTAGATAATGCCAAAAAAGACCGATTCAAATTTTCTATCAAAAATGTCCCATTTGCTTAGTTTCGAGTTGTACTTCTCGTCATTATTAAAGCTTGTGATACTACCTATAGGATTGCCCATAGTCAAGGAGAGAATAATCCTGAACTGAACACTGTGCATCATTATTCCTTATAACTCAAACTGGTGCAATAAATCGGATAAAAATGGTTTATATATTATATGAATTAAACGGTTTATTGTCCATAGCGATACTAAGTTACGCTGAATTACATCATTCAACAGTGAGAAAAATAAGTTCGTGTTATTTCTAAGGCTTAGTTCTAGATTGCTTACTACAACAATTAAGTTAAATGTTGACAAATTGAAAGAAACCGCCACTGTTTACAACTTTTTCCAATCAATGATTTCTAGGCGTTGATGACCATTACCTTTGATTAAAATGGTACTAATAAAATTTTTGCATCTCCTTTATCATGAGTTTTTTGTGTGTATTGATGTGATTTTCATGCATTTAATCACTTACTTGAGTACACTCACTACTGTATTGATTAATTTTTCAAACTTGACAATGAACATGCTTTATTTTGATTCCATTTCTAGGTAATAAAATCTTATCAGTGATTGAATAAGTAGTTATGTGCTCACCATCTTTATTGAATTGACTGATAAGTTTTTTCGCAGATTTATTCTAATACACATGTGATGATGATGATATCACTTTTATTTAGAACAATTTGTCGATTCTATAATATTAAGTTTATGCTGTTTATTTTGTCATGTTACATTTAAATTTGTGTTATAAAGTTATTTTGACATAAGACTAATTTTAATTTGTGCAGATATTCATGATTCAAAATTAAGTTTTTACTAAAAATCATTAAAATGAGAGAGAGGGAGAGAGATAGAGAGAGTATTGGCTATTCCAATAACTGATAATTTTGTACATACTAGTGATTAACTTTGATAAGAATTTGTGAGAAAAAAAGAAGTTTCTAATCAATACCAATGAAATTTGAAATCAGTCAATAATGACATTGAATATATGTTGGTATAACACGGATATTTGGATGAAACACTTGTCTAATGCTTCCAGATTTCCAATGGTTCTCCAACAGATATCGTTCTCTGATAAAAAGTCATACAAACTATTCTCTACAAATCTTTTGATTCAGCAGAAATATCATGTTAGATAGCGTGATAATTGTAGGAAAAGAATTACTGTATAAAATCTTGTTGAAAAGTTTGAGTTTATTACTTGCTTAAGTAATGAGTACTTTCGACTATCAAATGAAAGCGACACCGGTCTCTAATCTATTATTTAGTGAATAAAACCGCTGTATAACTGTCTAACACATATGTATATTTCATTTTCTATCACACGTAGTGCAAGAAGGGAAATTGAAGCTGACACATCTTAAAATATTTTCATCATGATTATCAAACCACACAATCATGTGTCCTCGTTTCTTTCACTTCGTTTTAGTATTAAACTGGGCTTCTTTTTTTTCGTCAACAATCATTCAAAGGGCTATGGACGACTAGCATTAGTTCATATTCATGCCTTTTCAATGAATTGTGAATGCAGTTTACGAATAATCACAATCTTAGTTTTTCCCTTCAAAGCATATGCTAACATTCCGAGCTCATTCCATAAATCGTAATTTGTCAATCAGTTAGTTAGTCAATCAACTATGAATATACAAACAAGAAATATTTCTTTTCAAACATACTGATAGATAGTTAGCTACAATAATATGTTTACAAAATAGTATTAAAAAAAAAATTAATAAAACTTACCGTACATGTATTCTCTTCAATTTCAATAGAAAATAATGGTATAGTTTCATTGAATTCAATCAACATGTTATTATCACTTAATAAAGATATAATTTGTAAAATATTTTGTATATTACGACAATTGACTTTTAATCGTTGTATAGCTACTTCACTTGACATTTGAAGAAATACTAATTGATCTTTTGGCATATGATATTCAATTTGCTAAATGTTTATTTACAAAAAGAGAGAGAAAGTATGACAGTTTTATGAAAATCAAACTAATAAAATGTTATCATTGTGTTTATATTGTCATTTCTGAATCTGTTAGGATATTTATTCATCAAATATCCTAAGAGAATTATTTTTGAAAGTCTAATTCTATTGGTCAATTCCTACTGGTCAATATATAATGGTCGTCCTAATTGTCAATGTCACAGACTTCAATGTTGTTTCCTATTCGACCTAACTGTATAAATATGCATTATCTGTAAAGCTTATTATTCCATTCCTTCAGTCCTTCTGTACTCGACCCCATAAACAACTTCCTCTAACGGTGTTATGTTCTGATATATTGGAGATTTTGGAACAGTATTTGGGGTCATATTGGAATATCTGAATTTGTCCAGTCGTTAGGATTTCGAATAGCTACATAGCAGCATTATAACAGAACGTGAATTAAACTATTCCAGAGGTGAACAATTCGACTATTCACACACTATAATTAATTATATGTAATTACAGGATTTAAAATGTTATATTAGAAGTTGCTTTACACGATGGACTGTTGTTTTGAATAATTGGAATTGTTATTGACAAGTAGATAGTTTTGTGGAGCTTTCTTTTAATAGTATGGAACTCTATAACAATGATCAACTTCTATCCCTCTGGGAATAGAAGAGCACCTTGAAGTTTCACAGCCACAGTGTTACCTCTTAACCAATGAGTTGAAATATGACAATTCTAGGCGTTGATTATATAATCCATAACAATATTAAAAGCAAGAAAATTAAATCGCTCAGTACAAAGAACCCAGAATCACCAAAATTCAATATCAGTAACATTGTTCAGGAAAATATTATGAGCTTTCAATACAAAAAAAAACTCTTGCATAAATAAAGAATAATCACTAAATTTATCCTCCTAAAATACAAATATATCAATATGTTGGCATGACTAAGTGAATAGTTCCCATTTACCAGTCAACATCTATAACCCCATTTTGAACTTGTATCATGTAGCCCCTCTTGAGTAACCTTTGTGTGTGTGTGTGTCGGAAAATCAGCTACTCTTCGAGACTGTTGAAATTAGCCAACAGAAAACTCAGTGAATTTGTATGTAGTGACACATAATCTCTTGAAGTAATAATTGTATTTGCATAGATGACTATAAACAACAACCCTATTTCATTGAATAAAAAGTCCCAATCATATCAATAATGTCAGTATATCATTTATTATTATTAGAATGAACACGATATTTTCAATATCCATATACAAATCGCTAATATGTTACATCCATTTTATCCTTTGTACATTTAAATAATTTAAAACTTGATCATTTGAGAAATTATTCACTTTATAGCTTACAATTAATTGGATACTCGTTTTCTCCTGTTGTTATTTGGCTACTTAAAATACTATACAATCTCTTGTACCATTTAAATTTATTTAACTTAATGCTAGTTAGAAGTGCAATGACTTATCATGTTCGGGTGTAGACAGTAACTACCGAAGACAGTGTATGTGGTTACGCAAGACCGTGAATAGATCGAAGTTAGACATTAACATCGTTAGTTACCGGCTCAGTGGTCCAGAGGTTAGGTGTTCGCGCGCAGTACCGAGGGTCCTGGGTACGAACCCTGCAAGGTGCAGGAGTCGTGCATGCGCACTGCTAATGAGTCCCATACTAGGACGAAACGGCCGTCCAGTTTATCATAACAGAATGGAACAAGTAAAATAAAACTTCAGACAAACAATATTAGGTAGATGGGAGAATATCTTATTGAGCTTTAATCTGAATAATGAATAAAAGTTCTGTATATATAAGTTTGATATATTTGTCTAATACTGATTCAATGAAAACGAATACAAAGGAAAAAAAAAGTGAACACAATTGAATGCGATTAATATCTAAATTCACTTACAGCATTTTCTGATTTCATTAAAAATTCCGAATACCATAATCGTTTTTGTTTAATTTGTGATAAATAAATTGATGACATTTGTTCTGTAACAGGACTGACACAAGTTTCTAGACCACTTAAACGACAATAAACACTTACACCATCTCTCCAATGACCACCATTTGGATCAACGTAATAGATACCTGTTTAAGCAAACATTTCATAAATCATGTTATATACATAAACATAGACAATATTTTCTAGGTAAATAAGCACTGAAAGTTCCAAATAAATCGACTAATTTTAATAGATTAAGTATAAAGCATAGACTTAATTTTAAATATCAATGTTTATAATAACGGAACTGGATACATTAATTATACTTATAATAATGTTCATAAAGACTACTAGTTGAAAAGTGAAGGCTATATGTTTCTTTAATTCGAAATTATATCAAATAAATTTAACAGATTTTATTTTAATTCTTACTGAAACTTTAACTTGATATTTTTAGCTTAAGAAATTTGCCAAGGTGATAAGTTAAGTCAATAGTCATTACTTCAGCGCTGTATATCACTTGAAAATTAGCTGAATTAGAAAATTATGAACCTTCAGGTTCTAAATCAACAATTTAGTTTTGTTCTAGGCCTAAAATATCAACTTCCCTAGGTTCGATCTTATGGGACATCGTAGGTATACGTTGCTGAATAGTCCTAGACTAGAACAAAACAGCTGTCCAGTGATTCTTGTTATCTACTGGTTCAGTATCGAATTCATGATAGCTTCAATTGTATTGTTAATTCAATCATAATAGAATTTTAAATTTTAGTTGAGATTATATTGTTCTTTGGTTAAAGATAATCGATAAGAAACGTTGAAGTTCAGTTTATTAAAGTTAAAACTTGATATATTCCATGTTCAATTACCCTGACTGGCGGCCATATTGAAACTTGATTCATAGAATTCGATTACAATTACACTAATCTGTGGTACATTACACTATGAACAATTAAAAGATTTATTACTGTCTTTTTTCAGTGATATTTGTTAAAATCACTTGTTAACAATATTTATTGTTTGTCGATCAATTCATCAGATGATAACTATATCACATATGACTAAAATAATTATTGATTTTTTAAATATTTTCTTTAATGAATGACTGTGAATTTTTATTTTGCTAGTTAAGAGCAGCAGGTTTTTTTTTGATCAGACAGATCAATAGTCGGAATCAGTTACCAAAATGAAAATGAAATAAAAAGCATCCATAACTAGCAAGTGACAAGTTATTAAGTGTAGTCAATGGTTTGTCAAATAATTTGAGATGTTTGTAGCTCATTAAATGAATACTTATTCAAAAGATTGTTATTTTGTGAGTTCAGATTGCTAATGAGAGAGTTTTCAGTGATATACTAATCATAAAATATAGTGTAACTATGGTGAACATGAAAATAGTAAATATTGCACTTTAACCTCATAAGTTGAATAATTACTGACATCAACTCAGCAAAAAGACTGGCATATATATTTCAAATCGAAAGAGTGAATTTCAATCAATCAAGAATAAAACTCATATAATTAATAATTTAGATGTATTCTAAAAGTTCTGCTGTCCTCAGGTTTTCTGAAGTGACCTTGAAAATTCCACCAACAGTAATCACAATAAAGATCACATTTTTTTAATGACACATTTCTAAATCATTGTTATTGGTTCAATATAGAATCAAACTGTGGCTAAAATTCAATACCACTAAGAAAGTAAATGACGGCATTAACTATATGGAAGCCGATAATAAATTCTTTTAAATCAATTAGAAACCAATATCAACTTACCGTCTTTTTTCTCTGGATGATCTCTTTTTAAATCATGACATGTTCGTGCCGGATTGAATTGAGTTCCACTTCCACTATTCAAACTATTCACAAGTTTTCCAACTTGACGTAATGCTTCAAAAATATCTTCCTCCTTATTTTTTAGTTAGAAAACGTATTTAAAAATGGTATAATTGTGAAGATATGGAGATAAGTAACCAATATCAAACCAAACAGCACTTAAATACAAATAGTAATATCATTAGGAGAAGAAATACACTTTGAATATGCTTTCGATTACTAATGAGTGCTAGTGAGTGCTTAGTGGTACTACGTAATTGTTTTGTCTTAGATTGTGACTATTTAATAGCCAATACATGTTTCAAGGTAGCAAACTTCATATCGACAGACTATTAAATTGCAGTCAGCATTGCGTTAGAGGCGTGAATATTGAATACAGATCTTAGTCTGTGTAGCGAGCTAGGCTAAGTAGTATTGTAAAGACTTTCGTTTTGAAGCAATGAGTTATGAAGAATGATAGTTTACACCATTTAGCTAGTCTGAGTTTCTTAAGATGCTTTGTACCGTTAGTTGGTTAAGAGACGTCTGATAACCTCTTTTAAAATCACAAAGCAAATGTACGTTTATTTCAGTAACAGATCACGTGATTGTTGAAGTAGAACAACTAAAAAGCAAAACAATTTTTAGGTGCAAATACAACACTGGAATGTAGAAGGAAGTAGTATAAAAATTAACCAGTATGCGCTAATGAACCGTATTTCTAACTTCATTGTTTAAGAATTTTTCGCGATCTACTTTGTTGGGGATGCTATATCCCCAAAAACCGCTTGGTAATCCTCTTAATTTTGTTTTTGGACATTTGAATTTCTTATTGTCGCACTAAAAGCATCTCTTAGTACTCTCATTTCGCATTTCTCACCTGAAAGGGCCTTAAGCCCCATTAGTTAGTTTTCTTTTTTAGTGTGCTATTTTGTCACTTCTCATAGGACGCTTTTCGTGCTGTATAAATTACGCTTGAATTGAATACTTGTTGAATCGTTCATTCGGGGCTGCTTATGGTTTATACAAACTTCCTGCTAATCTTGAACTTCTTGCTCTAGTTACTTGGGTTGGACTGCTGAGAATAGATATACTGTTCCGTTCGCCGATATCTAATCGTATCTTAATTAGCATAAGCATCGCATACTTATAATTATTTGTTCACTTAGGTATTTGATTTAATTATTATTCAATAACCTCGGACCATAAATCATATGAATATTTGTTTTAATAAAAACATAATTCAATAAACTTGGCTAGAATTATATAGTGTGCACGGTTATTGATAATTTTGAAGATTATCACCATAATAATAAAATTACGAACATATAACATACAACAAATATACTTCACAATATTTATACTGATCAATTTTGCTAACCTCATCATTCGGATCAGTCTCTTTGCTTGGATCATAATCTTCATCATTCCAATCATAAGATCGACGTATTCTCCTACCTCGATTACGAGGTTCATCGGCTTGCTAAATTAGTTTTTATTTCAGATATAAAATAATCAAAACGAAGGTCAGAGATAAAATGTTCGATAAATAAGAAAGTGTGAAAATAAACATTTAAATTTTTAATTATAATTCACTCTAACTACTCGCTGGTTCATCTCTGTGTGAAGGACAAACTAGCTCGGTCAACTTGATCTGTATAAACTCGTTTTGCGTACTTTCATGAAGCTAGATATATATAGATTGTTTACTGTGAAAAATGTTTTTGGACGAATGAACATACATCTATTGACATGATTAAGCATACTGTTCACTGCTTTGAAATCGCCTATTTTATAATATATGATTGACCATATATTGACCATAAAAGTGTGCATTTATATCTTTTTTGCATTGCAAATACATTAGCTATACGCAATTGCAGAGCAGATTCAGATATACTGCAAGATGGTGGAGAAAATTTTTAGGCCAGGTGGTGTTTCGTTCTCTGAGCTGGAAGAAAAACCAAATATCATCTACAAAATGAATTGTTCAGACTATGAAAAACATTACATAGGACAAAGTGGACAGCCTCTTCAGCTTCGTTTACGTGAACACCAATTAGCAGTCAGACGCCACGACATTGCTTCGCTTATATCAATACATACGGACAATTATGGACATACATTCGATTGGAACAATGTGGAAATACTGGATAGGGGTAGGAAAAAGAACACTAAAGAGTTTTTAGAAGCTTGGCACTCAGGTCAATCAGCAATCAACAAACACATTGACATTGACCCAATTTATCAACCAATCAGAAAAATAATAGGCGACATAGGATCAAGAAATAGACCAAAGAGGGATAAAATGAAAATAAAGATGCAGAAAACGCCAGGTTTGCGGTCAATAACAACCAATCAAGATCGAGGTCAACAGAATAAGCTGCTAGTCATACGTGGAAAAATTCGAATACTTTACTTCTATTTGAAGTTTCTGCTGAAAGCGCAACACCCAATTATCCAGCTCACAGAAAGAAACACCACTACAATCAATATATACATATATAAAATGTCATCTTGATTGAAGGAACGATTACTCTAATATTTTTAATTTTCCCTGTTAATTTGACTGACTGAATTAGTTCGAAAGTGTTTCCATTCCATTTTTTATTCATACATGAATTCCATGGTAATTTATCTGTTCGCCTTAATCGATAACAAATGAATCAATCGTTTTCTTGATCACAAGTTATCAGTTACAATCAATGATTTCTGAGTTTTAAGATTCATTAAAACACTCCTAGCTCAACGTGATGCATGTACATCTATATTTGAAATTATAATTCGGATGCAACAGGAGTCTATAATTACACAGCTTACTCAAGTCTAAATAATATCATGAAATCAGTAAACGTCAACTACACTTTTGTGTTATTCTGACTAACATCAATTGAAGATCTATTTAAAACCAGGAAATATTGAATGACTTTAGAACTCTTCATTAGTACTCAACATGATTCCATATAGAATCAGACTCAACAGTTTTTTTTATAAAACTCAGGGGGAATTCAGCGTTCCATATTTTCAACTTTAATAGCTATAGAGCATAATAATTTTCTAATAACATATGTTCCACTCATAACATTTCGCTGTCACAATTTGTCACCAAACTACCAAGAATCAAAACCTAAATATCCTGAGTTCGATCTCATACGTAGCTATAAGTGTATATTACTAATTAGTCTAAAATTAGAAAAAAATAGCTATTTATTGTTTTCTGGTCTACAGTAGATTTCCAGCAGATATCAGTGCTTGACAAGAGCAGGCATCATCGATGAACTTATTTCTAAAGCCACCATACATAGCAGTTTGATATTTAAACTAGAACAAAAAGTTTGAAGTTATATTATCATTTACGTACTGGAAAAAACATACAAAAACGTTCATATACTATCAAATTAGTAAAAACACCGTACACATGTAATTTTATTGTATCTGTTAAATATAGTACCAATTAACGTTTTAAGCTTACCATTAATCCAACTTCTGAATCTCTTCTACGACTAAACAATGATGTATAATCAGTTTTAAACTCTCCTGGTGGTCCAGGTAAACCCTTTATAGAATGCAAAAGTTAATATGAAAAAAATTTATGAATAAATAAGATGAATCATGCAATCATGCTTTAAAATGATTTCAAATGATGTTGTAAAATAGTTAAGTTATATGGTGTCCCTTTACAAAGAAAGAGTTTTTTCGAAAATAATTAATTTTTAAGTGACATTTATTACAGTTTGACCTTCATTAAAGTGCTATTAGAACTTAGGAAGTAAAGAACAACTATTTCTCTCTATTACGAGACTCGCTGACAAGCCACAACTATAAATTCGAGAGAGATTCGATCGGAAACCTTCAGATCTTGCTTCAAGCTTATACTGAACCACTAGGTTAGCATCCTAAACAAGTTTAATTTTACTAGTGGCATTCAACAGGTTTATATAGGATGTATAACTACCTAAACATAGTTTAATTGTTGACAATAATTCTGAATGCTGATGAACCTGGTTAAATGCAGGCTAAACAGATTGAATACTGAAACATAACAAACGAGAGTGATTCTTGATAATTATCATTGGAAAACATTTCATCACTAATGTGAATGGTGTCATTTTGTTCATGCTGTACAAACTACATTCTCCGACGAAATCGCTAGTTTTGCTATAAACCACTCGACTGTATGACTCTAATACCGTATGGAAAGTCATTTCATATAATCAACTACGTAATTTTATTAAATAATTGTAACGCTCGTCTTTAGGTATGCTTAGACTATTACGAGTTCACCTTAGTCGAACAACAAGAACAAAACAATAAACCAGCGTCCAGGTAGGTTACTGTGATCCCTTGATCCAATTGTACCAGCAATAAGTCTTAATATAGCGTAGCACATAATGAAACCAAGCACTCAAATTGAGTTTATTTATACTCTATAGAGACTTCCTTGGGACAGTCACAAAAGTAGCACACTAAAATGACACAGTAACCAAGGATTTTCCTAGTGGGAAATGTGATCTCAAGGTCAACTAATGGGTTCATGAAATACATCCAAAATAAAGATACTTATCAAGCAAGTTCTGGGGATCTAACATCCACAACAATAACGAAATAAAATGTCGAAATAGTAAGCCAGTAAAATGGAACAGGATAAAATCACTGATATGGAATTATGTATCAATAAAAGAATCTAAATGTACAGTGTTTTGCATGAAACTGTTAGTTCAAATAAATTATTTCTGAAAAGTTCAAAAATTTAAATATAAATATATATATATATATATATATATATATATATATATATATATATATATATGCACAAACGTAATCTACTTACAGGAGCTCCCGGAGGACCATCATTCCCTGGAGGTCCTGGTTCACCCGGTGGACCTTGAATACCTGGTGGTCCCTGTGAGAATTGTTGAAAAATTTTACAATACAACTAATATAACTTGAATACACGCGAATAAACAACTTAATATTATTTTTAAAAACTATCAAATATAGACATATACAACTACCAATAAACCGAAAAGTATTGGTAAACATTTCTCCTTCTAATTGTAGGTTGAATATCATTAAAATAAATAGTATAGAAATTACATTTTGCATAATTCATTTAATTTTTTTAAAGAGTAAAACAACATTTTTCATGTGCTTTAAAAGTTGTCATCAGCGTTGATCTGTTGTGTGAAAAATTGAATAAATCAGCTTAGATTATTCATATTGTTGAAACATATTTCACCGAACAAATTAGTTTCTTTGATAGAGGGATATAATAAATATTATCAGTTAATCAAATGTTTTTACTTACCATTGGTCCTGGTTGCCCGATGGGTCCTGGAACTCCTGGAAGACCAGTTTCGCCTTTGAGGCCAACTTCACCCTAGGTAAGTTTCATCAAAGTTATTCGTGAAAAAATATACATGTATATAATATTATCATACAATTGATGAAAAAAAATCAAATATCTAGACATCAAGGAAATCACGAAATCATTTGAGGATTGAGATGATTCAGTATATCATACTCAGGTACATTAACTAAATAAGTATAGAACGTAAGTGATTTGGCTATTTTTGATTAAAATGTACTTTTCTTTCGAGCTCTTCAATGTCAATTCTTAAACAGATGGAAAATTTAAGTGTACAAAGTTAAATTTGTCTAGTGTTGGAATTGATATGTTAATGCGTAGTGATAAACTTCTTATATTTGTCTAGACCATAGAGCTGATTGAACTCTATCAATCAATCTGTCTAAAACAAAAAACTGGTTTTTATAATTATCTCATGTGATGAAATAAATCTGTAAAAGATATGAAACTTTCATAAATTCATTTAGAAAAGAAAATTAAATTTTTTCATTTTGAAAATAAACGTTGTGAAATTAGTGATTGAATTATAATTTCATTACTGATACAGGTACAATAAGTGAAGTTGCATGAAAGCATTTATTGCAATGGCATAAATACTATCAAAGTTAACCAAATCGATAACTCAGTGTGTTACAAGATCAAATTGTTGAGTGAGTTTTAAATTCATTTCAGTTAACAAGTAGTTTATGACAAAGTATTAAGTCTTCACGTTAGTTGTTCAGTCAAATATTGAAGTTCACTTAAGTAACCAGGTCTTGAAAGCAAGTTACAAAAGAATTATTCCTTTAACCAGGCTATGTCCTATTAATTAGTAAAGCTGATCTAACAATTAAGATAACATTAGCTGATATTTTCATCCAAACATCCAGAAAATAGCTTTGTTCATGAACTTTTCAAACTAGATGAGTCGCAACCACCGAAATCGGTATTATATAATCACTTATATTTAATCAACATGTTTTTTTTCTCACAATATTTGATCGTAGTTTAATAAGAAAAGCTGAAATAAGACTTTTCTCTTAGTAGACAAGTTAATAAAAATTATAATATATGATATAATTTTTGATGTTGCATTATAACTTACCAAAGGTCCTTGTGGTCCTCTTGAACCTGGACTTCCTGGTAATCCAGGCGGCCCACCATCACCAGGTGGTCCGGTGAGACCCATATTTCCGGCTGCACCTCTTGAACCCGGTTCCCCTTCATCTCCAACTGGTCCTTTGCTGCCAGGAACACCTGGTATTCCTATTTCTCCTGGAGGGCCTCGTTTTCCTTCAAATCCATCTGGACCTGGTTTGCCAGGTCTTCCTTGACTTCCTGGTTTCCCTGGTGGGCCCGGTAGCCCGATAAGCCCGGGAGGTCCTCTGATTCCAGTTGGGCCGATTGGTCCCCTGCTGCCTGGTGGACCCTTAACTCCTGATGATCCAGGTGGACCCTGCATTCCTGGATTTCCGTCTGGTCCTCGAGGTCCTTCCTCACCACGAGGACCTTGTTTTCCTGCCTGACCATCTTTTCCAGGAGGACCAGGTAAACCTGTTCTTCCAGGTAGACCAGCATTTCCTGGTGGACCCATTTCCCCTGGCTTGCCAACATTACCAGGTGGTCCAGGTGGTCCAATTTTCCCCGGTGCTCCACTTGGTCCTTGATCACCATCTGGTCCAATCGGACCTACTGTACCCTATAGGAGATAAGTAATTGAGATAAAAATAAGATTCCAATCTAGAGTTTGTATTGGATTAAGGAATAACAGTCTACAGTTATAGTTAAGATAATTTTTTGCAATTATTTTATTCATTTAAAATCATCAATCAATCATTGTTAGACCACCATTAGAAACCTGGAAGCACTGAAAGACAGCCGTTTCGTCCTAGTATGGGACTCATCAGTGGCAGTGCGCATCCACGACTCCTGCTCCCCGCAGGATTCGAACCCGGGACCTCTGGTATTGTGCGCGAACGCCTAATCATCGGGCCACTGGGCCGGCATCCAACGGTGTTAATATCTAACTCTGATTGATCTTTTAATGGATGAACAGAATAAGAGAGTATTGAAGTACTATCAAAATATTTCAGAAAAATGATTATGTATCTACAGGCAACATAGTAGCTTATCGTATTACAAATATCTAACTAATTTATGTAGGTGTAAGATAATCCTTTGTGTTGTATTTATAAATATCATCCGTATATGCATAGAATCGGTTGAAGTCACATTTTACATTCCCATCATTAAACGTCAATGAATGGTGGTCATGATATTTAGAGGTTGAATAAAGCTTTCATCAACCATCAGTTTTTGCCTTCCTTGCATTGTACAAACGCTAGTGCTCGCATATTTCATGTGTTCGTTTGCATCGTTATGAAACTGATTGATCAATGGAACACCAAGTCTAATCAGGTTAATAATTACTCAAGCCTACCTTACCTTGAATGTTTTAGAATTTTGAAAAAAAAGAGTTATTACTATTATCATCACAGTATACACGAAAGTCAAGATATTCTATCATGAAACGATCGACATTTAGTAGATGTAAACACTTTTATAAGGTAAAACTTATTTGAAAACTATTATGTAACTATAACGTACAAGCAATAAATTATCTAAGTTGACATACACATCTTAAATGATTGAAATTCACTCAAAACAGTAATATATTCTTACCGGTAATCCAGGATCTCCTCGTTCTCCCTTATCACCTGCAGGACCCGGAAGTCCAGCCATACCGTCTGAACCTGCTGGTCCTTCGAGCCCTGGATCTCCAACTTCACCTTTAGGTCCAGCTTGTCCAGCAGGTCCTGGGGGGCCTGGTCGACCGTTTTCTCCTGGTGGTCCTTGGGGTCCAGGTTCTCCAACCAAACCTTCCGATCCTTGATCTCCTTGTACACCTGGTTGGCCCCTATCACCCTGTTGACCTGGTAATCCAGGGAGACCTTTAGGTCCAGGAGGTCCTTGAACTCCTTTTATTCCCATGTTGCCAGCCTCACCGCGAGGTCCACGTGGACCCATCTCCCCTTTAAGACCTTTCATCCCAACAGACCCAGGCGGGCCAGGTGGTCCTGGCATACCTGCATCACCCGGAATGCCTTGCGGTCCTTGATCTCCTGGTATGCCTTTGTCTCCCTGGTAACCACGAATTCCTAGTATTCCCTTGTTGCCAGGTCGTCCTTGGGGCCCAGGATGTCCCATAGGGCCGTCAGCTCCTCTTTGTCCTGGAGCACCTGTTGGTCCAGGTTCCCCGCGTGGTCCAGTAGGCCCTCTGTCACCCTTTTCTCCCCTTTCACCACGAATTCCCGTATTACCAATAAGACCTGGGACACCGACTGTCCCACTGTCTCCCATTTCACCTTTTTCACCCCTCTCACCTTTAGGGCCATCACGTCCAACTGGACCAGAAGCTCCTTTGTCCCCAGCTCTCCCAGGTGGCCCTGGTGGGCCCATTTGCCCTGGAGCTCCACGTTCTCCCTAAAAGTTATAAAAAGTTCTGTTTTACACTAATAAATGATAAAATTAGTTTATAAACAGATAAAATGCATATTTGGTCATCTTGCCAAATGTTGCTGTTTCTGAATTTTATGTTTTCCTAACTATCGTTTCATTTGTTTTCCTGTTGTTAGGTACTTGAACAATAGGACATAAATGTTTGCTTTGTCAAATGGGTTTTACCTATGTAATATTCCTTAGGGCAGAGAAACATTTAGTATAATAAATAATTCTCAAGTCTTCTTGATAAAATTCTATTTGCATCAGGGTTTTAAAAAGTGACACGGATTACTTTGTCATAATTAATAGATATTACAATCTTCTTCCAAGCAAAACAGATGATATGACTGAAATTGATGAGTCGATATAAAAAAATAAACAAACTTACTGTACAAAATACCGTTAGTCAGGTCAATACAGTATTCATCATTTAAACATTTTATGGTTTACCGAATAGTAAGAACATGGAAAGATAATATTTCATCTAGTTGATTGCTAAACTAATGTACTAACTTGTTTAACAACCTAAGTCAACTAAATGACAAAAATACTGAAAGTGTTTAGTTGCATCAAATCTTTCATAGTACTAATCGAATTCTGTTAATCAAGTTGCAACTTGACCACTGTCTTAGGTGACTAGATATCGCCTACACTAAGTTGAGATGTAAGTTGGCGGTTGAAGGTAGTCGACAGGAAACGCTGAACATAAGTTTTAGGCTATTTGGCACTTGTCGACAAGGTGTGTCTATAACCTTGAGAATACTGACACCATCAGGAAAATTCAATCTTGTGTCATCAAGTTACACAGTCAAAGACGTTACCATGAAGCTATTCGGACTACGGCTAACCTGTTGTAAGGCTGTGAAGCATTTACAACTAATTGGTCAAGTAAACTGAATTGTTTGATAAATTTATTGGGTAACATGTATGTTTCAATTTAACTTTCAATGCAGTTATCATGGATTCATGAAAATCCAGATAAAAATAAGTGTAATCTATGTTACAACTATAAATATCAACTATTGATATAAAACAGAGTAATCTTAACAAATAAAATTTAAATTAAATTTATATTCTGAAACAAATGATCAGAAAATCAATTATAATAAAGTTATTAAAGTCTGCAAACCAAACCGTTCACACTTAAATAGATGAATCTACTTCTGATGAGCTTTTCATGATTTATTCCAGGTTTTAGGAAAACAATCAAGATGAATGTTATGATATCTCAACATCTAACAAAAAATGTCACCACTGATTCAAATGATACTAAGATATTGTTCATCAACTCTATCAGATGCACAGCTGTAAAATATATGTGTAAATAACTTCGTTGATATAAGAAGCAGAAACGAGTTACTTACTGGAGGTCCGGGTGGACCAATTTGTCCTGGTTCTCCAGCTGGCCCAGGATCTCCTGGTTTACCAGGTGTTCCTGGTGAACCCTCAGGACCAACTCTGCCTTCTACTCCCATAGGACCACGCTTACCAGTTTGCCCACGTTGACCCTTTTCGCCTGATGGCCCAAATGGACCTGGGGGCCCAGGTTCGCCTCGCGGACCTCTGTCGCCTCTGGGACCTTTTGATCCAACCGCACCCGGGTCGCCAGTTTTTCCCACTGAACCAGGCAGACCACGTAAACCTTGCCCCCCTTGAGGCCCATGTGGACCAGGAATACCCGCCGCTCCAGGCATGCCAGGCCGACCAATAGATCCAAGTGGACCCTTGAGTGACAATGTGGAAACGAGAAATATGATGTCATAAAAATAATTTCGTTTAATAAAAAAAATGAAATCAGAAGAACACTTAGTTTTCGGATGCCCTAAACGGATTCTATTATAATTATCTAGAATTCTGATCTCTATCGATTTTTATTTAATATTTAGTCTAATATTATGGAGTAAAACAATCAAGTGTGCCAATCACTTCATGTCTCTGAAAATTCTCATCAGCACTAGAGAAGCCGCTTGGATTTAATTAACTTGACTTACCTGTGTCTTAGACGAGTTGTCCACCTTCATATCAAAGAACTTAGTGTTTTATATACCAGCTTGGTCTCTGTGTCTTCACAGCTAAGAAACATGATACTCTGACGGTACATATATAAGTGAATTATTACTATCTGATCACAAGGCCTTTCTAAGAGTTACTCTGATACTGCAGCATCCTCAATTCAGTAATGCTGTGGCCAGTCATATCGCGCTAGATGATGATAGTAAGTGGTTTGCAAACTGACGTTTTCGTAATTCCATATACTTCTCAAAATTATTGTTATCACTTATTGTATTGAATGGCCATATTTTCCTAGACGAGCCTCCTTCATAAAGTTTGTATCTATTAGTTGTAATTTGTAGTGGAGGGACAAGATAATATTCCCTTCTTTAATTTATTGATTTATTCTTGGCTAACGCAATTCTAGGAAGAAAGAAAGTAATGTTTTCGGAAAATTTTGTTCCTAAATAATTATTCCTTTCAACATTTCAAATATACAGAAACTCAAAATGATTTAAACATCATTGGGTGCATTGATCTTTTGTTTATGTTGTAATTCTTTTGTCTATTATACATTCAAGTACATTCAGCAGAAAAATTTCCTATTTCTGAAATCTTTTTTTCTTTCTTAAATCGATGAGAAAAAAATATTTTGTACTGCTCCGTTTCATATTGTCTTCTCTTCAATTATCTATGGATATGCTAAATAAAAAATCTCGTTTTGTGCCACAATAACCTATATTTATAAGTTCACTCGATTTAGTGAAGCCAATTACATTGGCTGCATAAAGTGAACGCTCTTTAAGCGTATCTTCAAGTATTATCTTGAGTGAATTTTAAGAGAAGAATTGTTGGGGATGTTAGATCCCCAGAACTCGCTTGATAACTGCCTTATCTTGGATTTCCCGTTTGCGAGCATGGGCTGATCAGTTGACCTTGAGATTTCATTTCCCACCAGGAAAATCTATGACTTTGATTGGCTGCTGTGTATTTTAGTTTGCTATTTTCGTGGTTTTCCCAAGGACGTTTTTATGATGTATAAATAAACGAGAGTTGTATGCTTGATTGCATTGTGATTACTGGGTATTGTAGAATATACTTTCTACGCTTATCAAGACTTCTGTTTTACAGTTTGGGATTCAAGGTAGCCTACTTGGACGCTGGTAATTGTCTCGTTCGCGTTTATCGACTAAAGTGAACTCGTAATAGCTTCAAGCGTACTTCGTGACGAACGTAATAAGAATGCAAAACAGTTATTAGTTTAATGGTGAAACATTTAATTGATTCCATCATGAATTTCCTATCAGATATATCTCTCAATCAAGTGACTGGGTTCGAAGAGAGCTCAAGTCAATAAGGTATGCACAACAGAGGCGTTAGGAATTTAATTTTTTAAACGTAGACATTTTGTGTAAAGGCAGTTCGTACAAGTTCTTATTCTACCATAGACCTAACAATTCTAACATTTCATACACGATGAATTGACTTTTCATGCTTTTTCTAAGTGTTTTAAGTTTTTTTCTAATATTTGTTTATTTATTAGTGCCACATTCATGTTTCGTATCCAATCTCCGCTTTTCTTATACTCATCATATCAACAATTAGTTTCCTCAAATTCTATTTCATGCCATTTGTTCGCTACAGCTCCTCAATCGTGACAAAAATCACTTTTGATGCTTGAAATTTATGTACATCTTGTTAGGTGGTGTTTTCCTGTTGAGATGGTGAAGAAAATTTGTAGGTCAGGTGGATGATTTTGATGGTGTTTCGTTCTCTGAGCTTTTGATTTTCAAGAGATTACTCTGTTTATTAAATCACTATCAATACGTATGTACAGTATGAGGAAATGAAATCACAGTATAGAAAATTTTATTCCATGACTTTTCTTGAATTCTTCTTTCATGACCTAATCGGTTACTTACGTGACTTTAATTTAGTTTCATATCTACAATTTGAATAAACACAACTTCCAGCCATGATATGTTGAATGAATTCGAAAAGGTTCATTTTGTGTTTAGGTTAATATTTTGCTACAATTTTGAATTTCGTCTTTCCCTCATAACTGTACTTAAACATACAATATTCATATAAAAAAATCGTAAGATTTTGTAGAATGTTGGCCCATGATCCTTAGCCTCTTAAGAACTCAGCCCTCATACTTTCTGGGTTTTTGCAGAATACAGGTCCTACTTCATATCAAGTCTTCTTCTTTTACTTAATGCGGTTTGGGACAATCGGATTAGTGTAGACTGTCGTGTCGCCGGATTCTCGATCCTCGCTCTCGTTTTCCGATTAAGGTAAACTTGTAATAGTTCAAGCATATCAAAATGATGTGTTTACGTGCAATGGGTAAGACTTATTTTTTTGCAGAACTCAAGATGCATAAGTTTTAAATCAGAAAACTTACCTTGGGACCGGGTTCACCAGTTGGTCCCGGTTGTCCACGATTTCCAACGGAACCCTAATCAATGAACAGAAATATTTCAATGGAAATGGTTAGACACGTGAATATTATATTAATTATAAGCTTATAGTGAATCATGGTTAATATTTAAGTAATTTATACTGTTACAGTTAGTAGTAGTTGTTTTTCGTTATTATTTTGAGACTAATTACTTGGATATTAAATAGCCAAATGTGTTAGTTTCTCAATAAAGTACTAGACGCTCTTCAAACATAAATTCGCTGAATTAGTAAAATTCGGATCACTGGATTTTTATTCAGGATTCTAGGTGTATAATGTAATGATTTCCCATGTTCAATCCTGTGCGGTTTCGAAGATTCTGTCTTTTGATAGGTTCTACACGTAGACTCAATAGGCATATGGAACTTTTCCATCATTCTGCACTTCATATTAGTCCATGATGGAAATATACTTGAAATACTGAAATATCATCCACTGAGCGACGATTATTCAATCTTATAATACACTAAGTATATTAGTTTTGGATTTTTTTCGTTTGGTATATGTAAAAAACAGTTAGGAATAAAATCATGGAGTTATGAAGAGTGATTAGGTAGAGAAGGGAAACATTTTCTAATTGCAAATATAAAAAAAATTATTATTCTAGTTTAAGGCCACGACATATGTAAGGATAAGATTTACTTCTTTTGTACACATACTTTGGGTTTAATCTTATAAATGGCAAGAGCTTTTGATATTTTAAGGAGTTCAATAGGAGGAATTCTAGGTAGGTTTAGACGAATTGTATAAACGACCTTAAAATGAACCTGTGGATCAATGAAGTGATTGGAACTAATTGAATGTTCAGAAGTGGAACTGATATCTGCCTTCTTCTCACCCTTATAGAACCACACTGTATTTGAGTTGAAGACGAGTGCTGGCTACGGCCTGTTTATTTCGCTCCATAAGATCAGATGAGTCAGTAGATGTACATAGAGCAAACTTATCCTTCACGGATACAGAAAACAAGATTATATATTTTTGAACGTTGGTCGCAGCTTTACTGTATAGAACGTTCTTTTTATCATTGGTATTAACCAATTTTGAAGTAAATCAGAATTTTGGTCACTTTTAAATTCCAGCAACCTTAATAGTCATTTTATTGAGTAACGCATATTCTTCATCACTGCATCCCCTAATACATAACTTGAGCATTGTGTAACATGAAAAGTGAATGAGATCCCTCTTTTTCTTGGTGGAACCCAGTTATAGAAGTTGTCGATTGACTGTTCTACTTGTGTGTTTTCCGTAAAGGACCTTTTTATGGATTCATCACTTCATCTTGTTGGAAGCACATCGAGAAATGAGATAAAATTACCTACTTCATTATCTAGTGTGATATCTCGAGAGGAACGTCACGTACTGAAAGAATGAATAACATCAAATGATGCAACATTCTCCTGTTAACCATATATCTTTGGTTGATTACCGAACTATGTGGATCTTATTCGAGTTTAGGCATAAAACAGTCTGCAAAGAGTAAGATCAATGGAGATCACACTGTGGTACCATTTGTTTGTTTACATATTTTATTGTTGAAATTGAACTGATCATTAAAAGTGAGACGTAACAGTAGTATTTACAAGTTGTCAGTCAGTAAGCCTGTATCTAGAGTGTTAAAATTAGTATATTCACGTATGTAGCAAACGTATTCATCAGACACAGGTTAAATTTCAAGCATATATATATATATATATATATATGCAAATAATTAGCCATTTGAAATAGTTCAGCAGTTCACCTTAGTTCTGTCGATTTGTAAACACCAATTCATTTTCTGTGTTTTAGTACACCAATGAAGAATTAATGGTAATTCAATAAAGGATACTGAAAAAACTACTATGACTGTAGTTACTCCCTCAAATAACATCGAAACATTTCGATTCCTTTATTTTTGATATCACACAATTAACTTTAATGGGGTATAATGAAGTAAAATTACGCTAACTTACTCTAGGGCCTGTCGGGCCTCTGAGACCACTTGGGCCAATATCTCCTTGAGCTCCCTTCTCACCAACGGCACCAGTTATACCAGGTGCTCCAGCTGGTCCAGTGGCACCTGGCGGGCCTTCAGGACCTGGAGGACCACGCAGTCCAGGGAGACCACGACTGCCTTCGTGTCCAGGGGCCCCCGATTGTCCGGCGGAACCACGTAAACCCCTACTACCTTGTTCACCTACTGGTCCTGATGGACCACGCTCACCGCGGCGACCTTTGATACCTTCTGGTCCTGGCAAACCTTGAGCACCTTGCAACCCTACTGAACCTTCAGGTCCTTTCGCGCCAACAAGACCTATTTCTCCTTCGCCACCAGAAAATCCTCTGATTCCCATCATTCCAGGTTTACCAGGATGCCCTCGATCTCCTGGCTCTCCTTTGTTTCCGATTGCTCCTGGAGGTCCATAAGCACCCTGTTTTCCAGGATTTCCAGATGGTCCCGGTGCCCCTCTGTCTCCACGTAATCCAGGGAAACCAACTTCCCCCTTCGGACCAGGAAGACCAGGCTGACCTTTAGGCCCCTCTGGGCCCTGTAACCCAGAACTTCCCTGAGGACCCGGTGCTCCGGGATCACCAGGTGCTCCAGGTACACCATCTGTTCCATCAACTCCCTAAAAATTAAAAATGAATAACAAAAATGAATAATAACAACGATCCCTGCCTAACAAGTAGATAAAGTCATTCGTAGTAAAAAACATAGAGTTTTCATATTTACATAAACGTCTGAGTACTGCTCTTTTGTTCAAACCACTTGTAGAATGTCTTTGTTCTTTAATTGTCATTTCAATTTTAAAACCTGTTGCCTCTTGAATATGTCCGTATCAATAAGTTCAGATAGCTAAGTTATAATTAGTCGGTGATCGCACAGTATGTTCGTGGAGTCTATCGATATGTACGATATAAAATACTTATTAATTCATGAAATAGTCTTTTTCGTGAGAAATATGCCATGCTCAAGTTAATACATTCCATTTAAAGGAGGTTTATAGTGCAAGTTTAATTTGATTACTACTTAGAATATTTTGTAAATAGATTAGATTGGCTGCTTATGGTATACAAGAAGAAATTCACTGTTCACTGAAAATCAAATCTCATAACAAAATAAATGCATTACTAAAGTTTTAGTAAAGGATAAAGATATAAACTTCATAATAATTAAAATATTACACGACAAAAACAAAACATACTATAGGTCCTGGCAGTCCCATAAATCCTCTAGGACCTGGCTCTCCCCTCTGACCTTGAAGGCCGATTGAACCTTTCGGTCCAACGGGCCCTGGAAGTCCTTTCGGGCCATAATCGCCGGCCATTCCCTTTATACCTTCTTCTCCACGCTCTCCGCGTTCTCCTCGAAGACCCATCGCTCCAGGAAGTCCAGCTTCTCCCATGATTCCAGGTAGACCACGTGGTCCTCGTGCACCTTTTAACCCAGGTCTACCCATTGGTCCAGCTTTCCCGTCATTTCCAACTGGCCCAGGATGTCCTCGTGATCCAGGGTTTCCTGGTGGACCGGGATCTCCCATCATCCCGGGTTGTCCTATTGGTCCAGGTGCACCTATAACTCCTGGGAATCCTGGTGCACCTGGTTCACCCGGCGGTCCCTAAAAAAGTAAACAGTTTTGTTTACCAATTTCAAGTCATTAAAATGCAAAATTAAAGCTGAAAATCAAATTTTTTAATCATAACAAACATTCTCAAGTGAAAGTTATTTGTTACAACTAAATTACTAATAAAAAATCTGTCTTTCATGAGATTAAAACTCAAAACTCTTCGAATATGCTTATATGAAAGCAGCTATAACCCTACAAAAACTAAAACATTTGAGCATTTTGATACTCTCTCCTAAAAATTAATTAGAACTTGGCAAGTACACTGAAAACTTAACACGCCATTGGATTATTGATTCATTAACAAATGTAAAGAAATATCAATCAGTAAAATTATACACAGTGGAAATATTTATTTCTGGTCAACTTTAACATATCTATGAAATTTAATATGAAGTATGATAGTTGTCAAGTATTTTCAGGCAGAGTTTGGGAGGTTTGTGTTTTTACACATTTGAAATCATCAATAAATCATTGTTAGACCACCATTAGAAACGTGGAAGCACTGGACGGAGTCATGGATGCGCACTGCTGATGAGTCCCATACCAGGACGAAACGGCCATCCAGTGCTTCCAGGTTTCTAATGATGGTCTAACAATGATTGACTGATGATTTCAAAAGTTGTCGAGTAACCAGATCATTTCAATAATCTATTCAAAGAATAATTTTACCGCTGTTATACATATTTAAAAATATGTATATCAACATCCAGTTTAATAGTGATGACGTATTTTGCTTTATAACTATTGGTATATTACATGTGTAAACCTTAAACAGTCTTGGTATCAAAAGGCATTAGAATCAGCAAAGATCAGTGGTAAATTAAGTCAACACAATATTGATCACTGTTCAGTTGAAACAAGATTAAAATTGGATCGATGTAAAGAGAAAATAAAGATGAGGACATATAATGCGTCAAAAATCAGTCAGTGTACTGGAATATAACAAGATTAAATTGTTACGATCAATAAAAATAACTTATTTGTTGAGTGATATCTGCCTTCACTTTCCTTAGAGGATTTTTCTTCTGACTAGATAAATATGGCATAGTGTTGTTTAACTCAAAATTATTGATTGAAAGAGATTTGTATTCACTTACAGGATTAACGCTTAAACACGTTGTTTGAGATAACAAAAGTTTACCTATTTTGAAGGCCGAATATGCTATCAAAAACAATGATATGACTTATCTTATCTATGTATGATAAAACTCACCATTGTTACTCTGATATCTTGGTACATGGTTACATTTTCACCAACTGGACCTTTTACCATTGCTCTAGAACGTTGCATATAGTCGTCGACATCTTGAGGAGGCTGAAATTTATTGGTTATTAAAGAAATGAGATAGCATAGGTCATATAAACAAGAGCAAGATTTCACGAATACATCGTAAAGAATAACTGTTCACTCATTATGGTATAACTAATTTAAAAACTGTTTAATATGGTATTTGTTTTTTTCAGCTAGAGTTTTGGAGATTTGTGTTGTTTTACACATTTGAAATCATTAATCAATCATTACTAGATGGCTAGGCGTCCGCGCACAGTACCGAAGGTCCCGGGTTTGAATCCTACGAGGTGCAGGAGTCGTGGATACGCACTGCTGATGAGTCTCATACCAGGACGATAATCGATCAGCCAAAATCAACCAAAAAGCAAGTTACTCACTGAGCTAAAGCAAGAGTAAGTCAATATTACAGAGGAAGAAGACTCAAAAACAATGATTGGACGCGACTAATAGGAATCCGGGCATGTGCATTTTGTGGAAGTCGGTATTTTGTTAGAGTTGGAAGTGTTACCACTGCTTCATTATCTACCTTTTATGCTTTCCGATTTCCTCGAACCTCCAGAGAGGAAACATACTGTACTGTTATTTCAAATAACCTAGACTATGGACTGCATTGTAAACTGATTGACAGATTCCAATCAGCATGAAGAGTTGGACAAACATGACATTATTTATTATTCAATGAATGATCAGTGTCTGATCCAAAATTTATCGGAAAAAATCAAGTTTATAATCCACTCTACAGAGTTGTACAATCAAATTCAAGTTTTTAAAAATTTTGAGTACTAATCAAATGTGAATTTTTTTTGACCTTATTCAACTAATTAGTTGATCTATCGAGTTTCTCATTTGGTTTGTAGTAATTTTTTATTCCAAATAATAGGCATTTGTTTGTAATTGCTAAGTATGTTCTAAAACATGAAAGTTTTTTAACTGATGTCAAAAGAACTAAGTATATTGTTGAAAAATCATATAACTTGTTAGAGTTTAACAACTTCAAAAAACAGGATCCTTGAAAACTTTTGATTATTTACAAGTAGAAAAAGAAAGATTAGGTTTTTTAATTTCCCATATTTTAAATTTTACGTTATTCATTCACGCGCACATCACGATATTGTTTTTAAGCAATTAACTAATTTAAACTAAGATTTCAAGCTTCACACCAGTGAGGTAATAATTTCCTATTTTCAATTAGAGTAATGGATATTACTGTTTTTAACACATTTGAAATCATCAACTAATAATTGTTAGACGACCATTAGAAACCTAGAAGCATTGGAAGACCGTTCCGTCCTGTTATGGGACTCATCAGTACTGCGCATCCACGACTACTACACCTCTCAGGATTCGAACCCGGGACGTTCGGTATTGCGCGCGAACGCCTAACATTTGAACCACTGGACCAGTGGAGTCCAACCCTTTCGAGTGTGGGCAGTAACTACCAAAGACAAATTGGTGAGGTCGCGCCTAATCCCAAGATCAATCAGAATTAGACATTAACACCGTTGGATACCGGCCCAGTGGTCCAAAGGTTAAGCGTGCATGAGTCGTGGATGCGCACTGCTGATGGGTCCCATACCAGGGCGAAAAAGTCGTCCAGTGCTTCCAGGTTTCTAATGGTGGTCTAACAATGACTGATTGATGATTTCAAACTATTCCTCACTTAATTTCCCTTTACATCTGTCTAAACTATCTTGACAGTATGATTTAAGGTATGAAAAGGGCATCTAAATTTCATTGAAAATGAAAATTGTTGAATGATCCAAAGAAATGATACTTTGAGTTAATAATCCAAGACAAGATTGGAATTTGTTTCAATATCGAATTCTATAAATTAGTTTCAAAAAACACTAAACATATTCCAAGAGTTATAGGTTGAATTTCTTTTAAAATAAAGATTATTGTTCTGCATTAGTTAATCAGCTAACAATAATATCTGAATCTTAAATCAAGTGTTCTCTAAAGTTAGTGTAAGGACTGATGTTGTGGACGTTAGATCCCCAGAACTCATTTGATAAAGGTCCTAATTCTGAATTTTATGTTTTCGCTCATGGGCTGGTCAGTTGACCTTGAGATTACGCTTCCCACTAGGAAAATCCTTAACTGTTTAGTATTTTAGTACGCTATTTTTGTGGCTTTCTCAACGGCGTTTCTGTGGTGTATAAACAAACTCGATTTGTGTGTTTATGGACCTCATATTTTCTGGGTGCTAGTGGAATACACTTTCTACGTCCTATCAAGACTTATTCCTCTGTTTAGTAGGGCCTTGGGATGCTCGGATTAGAGTAGCCTATCGTGTCACTGGATCACTTGTTTTCGTTCACGTTTGCCGACTAAGGTGAACTTGTAATAGTTTCAAGCATATCATTTGATGAGCATTACAACTAAGTTGAAAGGTTAATAACTTTGGACAGAAAAATTAACTTCAGAGTAAAACTTCAACTTAACTATAATAGATTATTCATCATCTGTTCTATTTTTCACATATATGAACGATATTTTTTTTATGTACTGTGTATATCATCATCGATCATCAACTTTAAAGTAATGAGAAATTGTTACATATTAAAATTTATTTGCACAGATTTCATGTTACGGTTGAAAATATTCCAAGAAATGTAACAAAATTAAATGTGTATATATATATCTCTTAATCCGATTCACTTAACTACAAAGCACAAATTCATTTTTATGTGATTTTGTAGGAATCAAGTGTTTTAACCTACTTTTATTAATAAGTTAAGGTGTTTATTTAGAGGAATTGAAGTTCATTCTATATAAACTATTTGTAAAGCTTATTTGTAGCTTGATTCACTGATATTTGGGAGTAAAGGACTGACTTTAAATGATTTTACTGATCTCCACTTTGTTATGTACCTGATAGTTTGCACACTTCTAATTTGCTTATCGAAAATTTAACAAAAACACATAAGCTGGTATTTGGTACAATTTGAAAACCATTCAAAAACCGTGGGAAATTACTCTTCATTTGAAATATGCCAGAAACTTACTGGACCTGGGAGACCAGGCATACCAGGTAATCCATTTTCACCATCAAAACCAGGATCCCCAGGTGGTCCTGGAGGTCCAGGTGGTCCGATAGGTCCTCTTAGTCCTGGAGTTCCATCCGGTAATGGTGGAGGTGGAGGTGGTAATGTGTACGCTGGCTCAGCAGTTGGTCTTGGTGTTCTTGTTGTCTGTGGTTGGTCAGTGTACGTACGTGGTGTAGCCTGAGGCAATGCCGGTTCCTGGTTTAGTAAGGAAAACGGAGGTATATTATTAAAATTGTCTGAAAAGTTACAAGGTACGGCATTTCAAGTCGAACTAATAAAGTAATAAACATCAAGCAAAAGTCCATGCTTACTGTTGCTTCCGTATTAGAACATATTAATACTAAACCTGATATCGGTACCATAAAGGAATAACCAAATACGGACCACATAAATAAACACTTTGTTTATAGTAAATGAAATTTGAGTTGTAATTTTTTGGCATTTTCTTTACTCAGGACTATAATTCATTCTAAAAAACCTTAGGTTGATCATTTCAACTGTTTAAATTCTTACTATGCTATGGTGATTTGACTAGGCAATTAAATTGAAACAGTCTGGTTAGCTGACAGTTAAATTTTAGCAAAAATGTACTAACTTTCTATCTTACCTACACTATATTTACAAATGTAAACTTTATCATCATTCTTAAGTATTTACTCAAAATTAGTTTCAAGTTTTTAACGCCTAAATAGATCAGATGTGCAGTATGTGTGGTTGGCAAAACCACTTGATCAATAATTGTATAAGGATTTGAAAATCTACCATAACTCAAACAAATTTTCCATCATAAAATTTAATAATCTCAGAAAGCAATTTCTCGCTTGTGCAGGTTGTATATGCGCAATAAGTCCCATAACAATACAAAACGGCCACCCAGTGATTTCAGGTTCTCAATGATGATCTAACATTGATCGGTTCATGATTTCAATAAAAATTACGACAGGTTCATCTTCGTAGCATATTTCAGTAGATAACTTTGTCTACTGAAAAACTTTAAGTAGCTCATATGTATCGTCAAATTATTTTCCATTCTTCCTGTTATTGCTGCAGAACGTGTAGTTCCTGCTAATTTAATTTTTTGAGGTTCATAAAGATAACTAAAAACATATATTTTGGTTCAATAAGATAACAATCCAAGTAATTTGAATAAAATTCCAGTACTAAAAAGCCATAAAATGAAGAAATACAGTACAAATAATACATATAAATGAAAATAAGTCATTGAATAGATTCAGTGACAGAGCAGTACGACAAAAATTGTAAATTATCATGTTATCAAAATTTACTTACCACACGATTCTTTGCTTAAATTTTAGAAAAAAATAATCGGAAAAAAAAATACGGATTAATATTTCATCAAAATGGATTGTATTTTATCATTATAAGAAATTGAAATGAATAGAATAGACTAAAATATTACTTCATATGTGGAAGTGAATTCGCAACCTATTTAAATACCGTTGTTATTCTCTATCAGCTTAGTTTAGGAAAAGGTAATTGCTGCAGAGATATTAATTTCACTCACTTGTTCTCTAATTTACGATATGCATGACAAAGAAGTCACTTATTATCTTTTATGCGGTGACACCTAGCTAATTCAATCTAATGATAATCACTTTGATTTGATGGACAGTACTGAAAACATGTTGATTGTTCTGTGGTTTGCATGTTCAATTTTGAATCACCAACTGACAATTCATTTCATCGTGTTATAATAACGAAATTCCAATGCATATATAATCAGTTTAATAAGTGAATATATATATATGTTCGCTTAGTTAATCGATATGTCTTTCTCCTGACATTGTTCATTTGGAATTTGTGTCTCTATTCAGTAAGTGAATGATATATTGGGCCATTACCTTTTATTTTGATAGTTTTATGAAACAGTTGTATTTTATAATAGTAAAGTTGTTGCTGTTTGTTTCATAACTTTTCAGTCCCAGAACTAGAGACTGATGAATTTAGCTAAGTAACTTTAAAATTTCAGAAAATTAGTAATCTAAAGGTCTAACATGGTTTGAAAGCTTATGTGAATACGGCTACAAATGAAGTCCGTAGTATTAGATTACATAACTAGGGAATTTCATATTGGAGCATTACAACCATTTATAACTTTCGTGATTACCATGGCTGTCTACATGAACTAAGTCGGTGATGCAAAATGTTTTCAGATCATCATGATACTTTAAAGGCTAAGTTTTTATTTGCCAACCAACCATTCAATAGTAATTTTAATTTCAGAAAAAGAAATGCCAATAAATTTACCAACACATTCTGGGCAACATTGTCCAGGCTCAAGAAGTTGTCCTTCATCTTCACCACATTGTAAAGTTGGACAAGTTTCACTTTCACAGACTACTTCTCGTGTATTCGGATCACAACGACAGATTGCACATGGAAAATTGGCTAGACGTACTTCTTCACCGGGGGATAAAACTCTCCCATTATCCATTGTACAACCTAAAAGAATGAAAACAAAAATTATTCTTCATCACTAATAATTCAAGAATTAACATTAGAAAATTTCTAAAACTTGATCAACTGTAATAAAATAAATTAATATAAGAAAGTTGTGGGCGTTTGGTTTTACTCCAATAAATGAATAATATTGAATTTCCCAGAAAATTTCAACTTTCATTTTTACTATTGGAAAACAAAACTTAAAAATACAGATTAGAGTAAAATCTTAAAGCAGGAAGAGACAAATGTTCAGTATTTTCTCTTTGTTTCCTACTACTACTACTACTACTACTACTACTACTACTACTACTGCCTAAACAACTAAATATTCCTTTGATAAAAGAAAATATTTACTTCTAATCGATAAAGTCATTGAAAATCTATGCAAACAAGAAATATACAATATACGAGTCGCGGATGCGCATTGGTGATGAGTCCCATACCAGGATGAAACGGCCATTCAGTACTTCCAGGTCTCTAATGGTTGTCTAACAACGACTGATTTACTGATGATTTCAAATAAATAGGAATTTCTACAAGAACATATGTATAATGCAATTTTTCTATTCTTACAGATAATATATAAAAATTTAACATATTTCAAGTAATATGTTCATTCCTATTAAATTTTTTTATGTCTAGAATGACAATGGAAGCTTCGTATTCAAAGCATTCAACCCTGGTTATGCAGTATCTTCAAAATAATCACTTAGTTTTCGTGTTAAAGTTTCCTTTATATAGTATTGAATAATGTACATGTATACTTTTGTTTTACTGGTATATATATATATATATATATATATATATATATTGCAGTCAGAACGTTTATATATATGCAATCAATTAGAATTTCCATCAGTTTAACGTATATGTGATAAAAATCAAAATAGATTACTGGGCATAGAAATTGATGTGAACTAATAACTTCTAAAATAGACAATCGTATAAATTAATTCTTTACATTGTGAGCATTATATAAATCTAGAAAAAACAAGTAATTTTTATGAAATATTTTATTAATCTTTTATTTTAACTATAAACTTGTAATAAAAAGTTTACTACTTTATACATTATTTTTCTTATTGATTTAAATGATCTATTTAGGAATGATTCTGTTTTTTTTGGCTCTTTACAATATTACTTATTCATTACTATAAACTGATATGATTATCAATGATAACAGACATTCATTTGATGAGAAAATCTTTACAGACAAAAAATATACGATGAATATTACTTATTATATATATATATATATATATATACATGTAAACACATAATTCACGATAATTATCTTCCAATGGAATAGTGCTATCCTAATCACAACCTAACTATGACCGACCATCTATGTGAATCGGTCTAGTGAAGTAACAGAGTGTGAGGAGATTTGCCAATGATGAGAATGTGAATGAATCATGAGAACATCATGATATTGAGTATCTAGTTTTTGAAGTATGAGTGGAGTAATGCCTGTGTGATGGGTTGTGACGGAGTGGTGTGTTATGGAACGAGTGAATAAACATGTGTTTATAAATTCCTAAAAAAAATATCAAACTATAAAACTCAGTATTGTCGGTCAAATTGAGAAATGTAAGATTTTAAAAAGAATAGTCGAAACAATCAACTTTAAACTGACAACACTTAAAAATGATTTACTAAAATTATGTTATTTGAATAAAACACATTGTTTGCTGGTTACATGTGAAACTGATTGTATTGGACTGGTGCATTTAAATGGATGTTTGCCTACTTGAACAATTTAAAATCTGTTCAAATTTACTATGCGTCAATTAAACAAACATCTAATTTGTTCACGTATACACTTTATTAGTGTAAGATTATTGAGTGATCACAAAAGTTCACTACTCATCTATTTATCGGTAGATAAAATGGTCATGAACAATGTTAATCATAATTTGTTACACACGCCAAAAAAAAACATTTACATCTGTATGAAAACATTAAAATAAATGTTCAATACTCTATCTAACTATATTTAAATCAGATTTTTGAAAAAAAAATGAGTAGTTTGATGATAGTTACACAAGGCCGAATAGTATGCTTAAATCCTCAGCCATTTTTTGATAGTAGTATGGCGGAGGCTATGAGAAGTAGAATTAACAGAAATTAGTAAAACAAGTACATTGAATAAATCAACTCACCTTGAGCATTGATCACGTAAACAATACAACTAATTATAACAAGATTGAATAACATTTTTTTTTTAAAATACTTTTTACTTAATAACAATTTTTGTAAAAAGTACGTTTCAAATTCTTCTTTGACACATTAATTTCATATGAGTAATAGTTGTTTCATATTGATTAAAAAAATTTTTAATTAATAATATAATGATGTTAGTAGTATAAGTTAAGCTAGGGGTTCAAACATTTGCATGAATATTTTGAGTAAAATTTAACAATTGTTTAAAATTTTCCAACAGTTTCATTCGCAGAAAAATTAGTCTTCTTTAATTGTAAAACAATTGTATGATGCATGTATGCATGTCAGTGTTCATTACTTATGAAAAACTATTTACTTCGTGCATACATACAATTTCCTATCTCATCTCTTATTAGATGGTATGATCGCAGGAACATTCGATTCCATTGAAATTTGAATTATCATATATAAAATAAACAATGTGCATATGTTATACAGTAGTAACATGTGTACATTATTTTTGTTTATGTGCTGATGGGTGCAATTGTGTTTTTGTTTTTCTCTTGTTAAAATCAAGATCCAATTCGTTTGTACCTCTTGAATTAGGAAGAAAAAGGAGAAGAACCAATCAGTACAATCATGCAGTTGTGCACAATTGACTATTTTTGACACAGAAAAAAAGGTACATCCTGATATTTTTACCGGTAGATTTAACATACATATGTACATTCACTGTACGTATATATACAAGAAAACTTACATGTGTACATGTAAAAGCTAACACAATCAGTTATAAGTATGTGTCAAGTCGAATATTTAACAGTAGAATTGCACATAAACATAATACTGACTAATATTGATGACTGTGTTAAATTATTTACAATCTCGTTATTGTACAATTATATATATATATATATATATATATATATATATATATATATATATATATATATATATATAATTTCAATGAAAACTTTCTAAGAACTAAGCTGTCATGTTAGATAAATTTAAGTATTGGAAATTGATTTTTCATCTAACAAACTGAAATGCTTCCATCGAATAAAAGAAACATTTTAACGATAGATTTCATTCAGTTTGACTGTTAGATTTCATGTTGATTCGAAACTTTGAACATTGTGTTCACGTCATTTCATGGGTTTTAGTTTCGATTAAGAAAGGATAGAAAACTGAAAGTCTTTGAAATGAACAGTCACTGTAATGCAACAATAGAGAAAGTTTCCACTGCACAATACTGCGCTACAATCTTCAATGGTTATCAAATCTTCGCTGATATATGCCCCCTAAGTATAACAGGCAATTAAGCATCGGACACCGTTTATTGTTTATTTAGTCAAAAAGTAGCTAAACCTTGATGAAAATCTAAAATATCGATTACTATAAAGTTGTAACATTTTAAATTAAAACTCGAGAAAATCAAAAGCACCCTAAACATATAACCTTTGAATTATTACTACAATACAATTTGTTATACTGAGTATTCCAATTGAAACATAAAAAAAAATACAAACTACCAGATAAACGGTTTCTTTTTAACCAGATTCTTGTCAAGACTTGTGCACTAACATATTGGTTTTTTTGACAAGAAGTGGAAAATCAATGCTAAATAACTAGCGGTAGATCGACTTCAGCGTCTCCATCTTAATATTTGTTTTAAATGTCGTAATCATTTGGCGGTAAATCAACGGACGAACAGTTAAGATTAAGGCTAAAGTGAAATTACATAATCGATTGGTTATCGCAGCTAGTTACGTGGGAGTAAAAATATTTCGAAATTAAACAATTACTTATCAATGTTCACTGTTACTTAAGCTTAAATAATAGATGATTTTTGAAAGCAGTGAAAAGAAAATTGGATAATTTGAAAATTAGAGCACATATGGTAAGAAATTCGATCGTGACTAAAATGATTGAATAATTGAAAGAAAAGTAATTGTATAAATTTAGTGCGAATGAAATGGCTGTTTGAAACATATCTGCACATGAGAACCTAGGTCCGTTTATATTTAATCCTGTGAATTTCACTGTATGTACGAGACGGTTTCTGAAATATTAGATCAGGTTCGATGGAACTCTATGCATAACTTTGAAAGTCAAACTTGTGACATCATGCTGATTGTTCCCAGAAGAAAAGTACTTATAGGTTGTTTTCCTCGTGCGGTCAATCAATTAAGATGATTTACTCTTTTGAAATCGTGAACCGGCCAATGTTAGACCACCACTAGAAAACTGGAAGCACTGGACGGCTATTTTGCCCTGGTATGGGATTCATCAGCAGTATGCGTCCACGACTCCTGCTCCACGCAGGATTTGAACCCAGGACAGTTGGTTTTGTGCGTGCACGCCTAACCTCTGAACCACTGAGATTGTGCCTAACGGTGTTGGATGATGTTAAGATCAGAAATTAGAGAATATAATGGCCTGATTGTGAGTTCATTATGACTTACACCACAAGAGCGATTAAAACGATCTACATATACAGAGACAACGAAACGACGCAGTTTATCTGTATTTCTTAAAATTACTGTTGGTTGGATAAAGAAAAAACAATATAGTCTTGTAACAACAACTGTTTATTCTAGGTCTTTCTTGATTTGTGAATTCGCTTTCACCGGTTATATCAACTTTTAACTGTAATTCCAGTATTGATGATTCTTTTGGGTACTATCAGCGACTCATTTAAGTTTAGCGACCTACACACGTTTCGTCACGAAGTTTGACAGATATTCATTTCTATTTAGTAAACCATGAAAAAGCTTTCATTCCTCTATAAAGATGTCATTGCAGCAAATAACCTTACACCTCTGTGAAACAGACATTCAACTAAATTTCAATCATAATGAGTTAAAAGTTTTTTTATAAGTATCTAAATTATTGTTATCGAAATGAAGAGGAACATAAATTCTGCAAATAAATACAAAGAAACGAACGATTATTTGAAGAGTTATTGAAAACGTCCCAGTGTAATGGAATTTGACTAAAGGGGATAAAAATTAGTAATGTAAACTTTGAAGCAAAAGGACTCAGTTAAATCGTGTACTACTTACATGTATAATACTAAGTCTTCACATTTAAAATCATCATTTTACTCCATTGGCCTATATGGTGCAAGGTTCGACTTTTTCCTAATTATGACTCATATATGCTAACTTTAATTATTGCCCACTTAAATACTTATAGAATCACATACGTGGAATAATCCACTTAAAAATGTTCAATATATTGTATACGGAACTTTGCCTAAATCAGATGGCATTAGTTAATTGATTTTTAACATTAGTTCTTAAAGTTAACTTTCTCAAGATACACCATTTTCAAGTTTGTCTATGAAATGATCTTTTCCCTGTTTAAATCAAGATAATCTAATCAGTAATATTTATAAATTGTTAATGACATTAGCAAACTGTACTTTACATACAACACAATTTATGAATAGACAAATGTTGTATTGAATAGTTTTTGTGTGACTAATATTCCAAGTACTACAATATTGATACAACCTACTGATAGTTGGATGAACAAAATACAGACGATCATTGTAATTTATTTGTAAATTAGCATTAAAAAGAATTGTCCCTTGATCTTCCTACTTATAACGTTACTAATTTTCGACTATGGAAAGCATTAACAATATTTATAGGCTTAAAAATATTATATTTAAATAGGAAGACCCATTACCTAACGTGAAAAGTATATACATAATGTAAACGTCATTTACACATTCTGGTTACATAATTTATCTCGCAAATAGCTCTAGAACTAGCCTGTCTACGTCGTTATTGGTTAATAAATGACGCCAAAAACCTCAGTGCCACGTTTAGCTCACCTTTGGTTTCATACCATAATTCTTTTTAAAACGTCTGAAAATACATGGAATGTGTATTTTTAAAAATGAGACAAATACCATATTTCAAGCAAATAAACTTAATCGAAACAAACTTTATGCAAACAAAAACCTTTTCTTTCACAATACAACACAATAAAATTTCAAAAAAAAAATGCATTTTTTTTCTTTCTTTGACAGTTTCACATTAAGCAGGAATAACCGATTATCTGACTATGAACTATAGGCAAACATGCCCCTGACACTGAACACACATTTATTTAGTCTGAAATTAAGGACATAGCCAAATGATTACAACGATTAAAATATTATTCACAAATGTTTGTGTTATTTTTTCTCAATGCCATTTCTCCTTCTTTGATCCGCTTCTATCTATGTGCAGAAGTCTGTTTTCTATCATGACTTTCTACATGTCCGATATGTAATACATGATTTTGGTATTTCCAGATAAGTGTACAGTGTGTGTGTGTACGTGTGTGCCATGAGATACACTAATTCTCTACTTGTTGGATTGTCTCTATCCCCCCCACAAAAAAGCAATACTCCTTAGAATTTCCTTGTCTTCATCTTTGGCAATAAATAGATTGTTGTAGTCTTGTATCAAGGTTTGACGCAAAACATGTATTATTGTTATTACTATTATCAGTGTATTCCAACAAATCGCGCACTACATTCGATTTTTTTTTCCTACAGCTTGGTATTAAGAATTGATAAATTTACATTTTATCCTAGAATTTTGACAATAACACGAAGCTCTCTATTACTGTGGGTGTATTTTTTCTTCATAATTGTTCTTGATAGTGTATTGTTAATGATTTTACATGTTCTATCTTTCCATTTCACCGAACAACTAGAAAATAGCCAAGATTCACTTATCCAAATATTGATCGATTTGAAAAAAAGATTAGTTAGCTTGTTCACTGGATAGGTGTGCGATATATCTCTGGTGGTAGCGCTTACGAGTGGGCGCGTGCGCACACACTCACACATAATGAACTAACAGCACAGCCTCGAATGTACAATATCCTGTCTATCTGTTACTTGTCTCAAAAACTATATTGTCAAAAATATAACTCCTGCATACAAATAAGCACAAATGCACAGTGGAAAAAAATAAAACAAAACAAAACAAACATTGGATGAAAAAAGGAAGAGAAGTAACCAAGTATCAAAGTGAATGCATCATAAATATAATTCAAGAGGTATATTAATCCTAATGGTTCCTTTCTTCATTGTTATTAGTCCAAAAGATAGAATAAGATTGTGACCCAAACATATGAGATTCTTAGTTCTTTAGATGCCAATAGAACGATGAAGTGAAGTGAAAGGTTTTCTAATTTTTTTTTTTTAGTTTTATGGTGGTTGACTAACCAAAATTTATCATCAACACACATTTTGCTAGTTGTGGTTGATTAACAAAATTCGTTACACTTATTTAATATCATTTGTTTGTGTAATACATATGAGTAGTGTTCAATAAAATATTAAAGTTTAGTGATTTTTTTTCAATGTCCAATGTATCGAATTAAATTTTATTCAATCAGGATATTATTGTTTTTAATATGTATATCATGCTTAATACAAGGTGAGCTAAATAATAATTTTTTTTAGTGTTTTTAGTATGGGATAAGTAAATGTTTTCGTGCATTTTTATTGATAACTATACATTAATCATTTGTAATTTTATAGCCTTATTTTTACTGAAATATGTACTAGATAACTGTGTTGTATGAATTTGCAAACCCAAGTGATGGCTCGAAAGCAAGAGTCGTTCCGTGAGGAAGTACTGAACTCAAGGTCATTCACTCCATTCCTAAAACATTTCGATTATCTAACAAGTTCAACCGTAATCTCAATGTCAGCATAACTGAACCCCCAAAATAAGAGTCTTATGTGTGGCGTAAAATAAAATATGAATTTTTTAAAACTCATATTTATTCTTTGATAACGTAGTTCATTCGACATCTAATCGCCTTCACTATGACTACTTCTCTTCACTTTGAAACAGTTCGTTGTTCTCCAGTTAAATTCATTTTCACTATCGTTGGTACAATTATCTAAACAAGCAGAAATGATTCAATTTAAAACTGTCAATTGAACTTTGGTTACAAAAAAATATCAACAAAAATCCGAATGGTAATTGGATAGTCTTGTTAGTATAAAATTATTGATTTTATTTCAATTGATGTCGGAAACAATTGTATCATTTTCATCCCTTCTATTATCCATACAGTTCTTTTAGCTGACGATAAAAGTTACAATCCTGTTTCATAGAAGGACAATTGGTAAATTAAGTCAAGTCATATTGCAAGAACTGACCACATGACTTAAATGAAAAAATGTTTGTATTCGAAAAGAGTAATCATGCATCTCGTAAAACTAGCTTAAACAGTTGATTGAGACAGTTTAATCTTATAATATTCTTATAGAAATCATATTCATATATTAGGTTATTGATTGACCAATATCTATGGTTATTCCAATTAATTTCATGTAATTTGACTGTATTCAGACAGTTTTAATCCATTTTTGATATGTAACAATATAATGTGTAAGTTATTTTTATTAATCAGGTGAACGTGTTCGACGATTAAAGCGTCAAGCGGAAGATGTACCAAGTTCTGGAGTAAGTTGTCAATTGCTTCACCCTTCTTATTTCATTTGTTATAACTGTAAATATTTATTGTTTGATTGAATCTAGATTATTTTAGTTTACACTTTTTATGAATTAAAGTTGAATTTGAATCATCTATTAAATTCGGAATTTTAGAATTATTTTTATTGAATATTATTCCATCCCATAAGTCTCCCCTCATCTACTTTAATTACTTATCGTTTTCAAACGTATAAAAAGATAATAAGAAATGTGAAATAATTTAATATATTCACTGCAAAAGTTTCATGTTTGATGCATGTACTACTTACTGAGTAAAACATTCTTTGAAATAAACTAATAACACGTTGACAATCATTGACAATGATATAAACATATGAGGAGTAGTTAGGAGATGGAAAAAATATGTTAGGTAATAAAATTATCACTAAAAGTATACCGTCTAGTTGATGAACAACAGACTGTCTTTCAAAAGAAACACATTTTTGAAACCATGAATCGATCAATGTTAGACCACCATTAGAAACCCTGGAAGCACTAAAAGACGGCCGTTTCGTCCTGGTATGGGACTCATCAGCAGTGCGCATCCACGACTCCTGCACCCTGCAGGATTCGAACCTAGGACCTTCGGTATTGTACGCGAACGCCTAACCAAAAGAAAAACAATAAAATTGACTTACAGTGAATAAGAATGAAAGATTTTCTAACATTTGAAAACAAACACAACGTTTTGAAATACTGAAATTTTTTGATAAATAGTGAGAAGTTGTAACTGTTCTAAAAAATGTTATGATATATTTGCGCTATACATTTCGAACAATCTGGTCACACATATTTACTTGTCAAAGCATTTTATATGAACAATAATCAAAAGTCAATTACGTTTTCTCACTGTTCTATCGAAATTTATAAAAGGGACTAACTGTTCTAAACTTAATTTTATGCAGAAATAATCTATCTGTTAGAGTTGTTTTTTTTCAATCTCCATATCGAAAAGAAAATATGTATGTATGTTTTGAAAATTGATTAGTGCTCCTCATGTTTCTCATTCAAAAAAAAACAAACAAACATTAAAACATCAAAGCTGTTATATATTCAACGTTCAATAGATCAATCTCAAAGAGTATAAAGTGAACAGTTCATTTTTGTTAAATAAATAAAAAAGTTGATAAGATCTCGTGATTATTGTATTAAATAGGTGAGTGAATAAGAAAGCAGTGAATAATTGTTTGTTTGATACACCCTATGAAATTAATTCATACTAATTGTCAAACTAGATATAATTTAAGATTTTCATCTGTTAACTGAAGTATGATGGCATTTTTTTTCTGTTGATTAGACAGAACTCTCAATATTCACTACAGTCTGACAGGAGTCAGACCAATATATTAATAGGCTTTATGTTTATAGATATATACCAAAATGCATATTTCGTGTAAACTTTATTGGAATAATTTGTTTTTCACGATTAAGAGCTAATATCTGTGTTAATTATACTGTTGTTTTACGATTTAACACTATCATCGACACAAGTGTTAGATCTATCAACAGTCAAGTTACGTTGATCATTCTAAAATCAAAATAATCATGAGATTTGTTACTTCATGATTTTCTCCTCCGCTTGAATCTGGTTTGTTCTATCCCATAGCAGGTTGTTGCTGGTGACATTTGGCTAACGGACCTGAGGTTTTTTGCGTAGACAACTGTTAGTAAACGCTTGCATCCTGAGGATGATGGCTTTCACGGTTCTCCAAGTTTCAGCCCTATACACAGTAGAAATGTCTTGACATTTGTATTGAAAATTGTGACTTTGGTGTTTGTTGATAGTTGTATTAAATTCCAGTCATTCATATAGTTGATATATTTTCGTCAAATTTCAAAAGAATAATCCTAAGGATAAATGAATAAACTCATTTCTGAGATAGGCTTAAAATTTTTTTCAAGCACTTTTCTGCTCAGTTTATTTGAAATCGTCAGGTTTTACCGAGGTAATGATTTTCATCAGGATATGTTTGTGTCAAAACGACTATATTGATTTAAAAATCACTAAAACTTCCATAAAAGTTATTTTTACTGTACTTTTTTTTACAGGTTAAGGGTCCAGCACCATTTGGTGTAACAACTTATCGAGTTGGTGCAATGGGAGTTCAAGGAGAACGTGGACCACCAGGACCGCCGGGACCAGATGGTCCACCTGGTCCATCAGGTTCACCAGGATCACCAGGGAAAACAGGAGGGCCAGGAATTCCTGGACCTATTGGATTACCTGGACCTCCAGGTGCAGACGGAAAGCCAGGTCGAGATGGAGAAGCTGGGAATCCAGGTGCTTCAGGTGAAGTTGGCCCACCAGGTCCATCAGGACCAACAGGTCCACCTGGACTTAAAGGACCCGTGGGATTGAAGGGTAAAAAAGGTGAAAGGGGTGATCCAGGAAGAGATGGCGTTGAGGTAAACACTCCTGTACAAATGATTATTATTTATTTTCTTTATTCCTCATAAACATGTTCATTCATGAAGCATCTGAAATTGAATGGTTAGCAAACATTTAAAAAAAATTACCTTAGTATCCTCTTTGAAATTCATAATAGTCTGTACCTATAACATTTATCCTGTTAGTTTAAATCATACATAAAAATCTGACTGAAAAAAATTTCATTGATTACACTTGAGATTAAGTTGAGTAGAAAAACAAACACTCAAATAAAAATCATGTATGATATAAGATTTATTGAGCTACTGAATACTCCCAAGTAGTATAATCTTAATATGCTTTGTATTGGTATTTATCCACAAACAATGAAGAACACTGCAAAATCGAGTGTGAATATATACTTATGAAATAAGCCGACAAGAAATACCAGCACTATCTTTAATTTAATGTTATCACCATTGAATTGGAAAGTTAATTCATCAATTCATTCATGAGGATCATCTTAATTCAAAACAGAATAGTAAACTTTTCGATCACTCAAAAGTATTCGATGTTACATGGTCGGTTCTTTACTGTTACCAATGAAGCTGAAGTTTAGTCATTCCATTTTTATTTAACCTGATGTAATCACACACCTTGTTCTCGATAAAATTCAATTTGAGTCAATTTTTTAATGAACCAGTTAAATAAAAAACATGGTCTAAGGGAAACTACAGATCGCACATTGAAATCATTAACCAGTCATTGTTAGACCACCATTAAATACCTTGAAGGACGGACGTCTGTTTCGTCCTGATATGGGACTGATCAGCAGTGCGCATCCACGACTCCTAAACCTCACAGGATTTAAATCCAGGACCTTTGGTCTTGCGCGCGAACGCCTAAGCTCTGGACCACTTGGTCGGCATCTAACGGTGTTAATGTCAATCTGCAAATTTTACGCGACCTCACCCATTTGTCTTCGGTAGTTACTGCCTACATCCAACTGCTGATGAGTTCCATACCATGATAAAACAACCATCCAGTGCTTCCAGGTTTCTAATGGTGGTCTAACAATGATTGATTAATGATTTCAATCTGCAATGAATACTAATCTCCATAACTCTAACTGAACACTACAGATCGTCACTAATCATCATCTATCATTTTCAGCATGGAACTAAACAGTTATAAACACCACAAAATTTTATAATTATAATAGGATAATTAAATCATTTAGTTAAACATGAATTTTACTGAATATTTCATCATACACGTAATAGATTGTTTGTAATCTCAGTCAATCAATCGATCATGGGATCTGAATCAGTAGTTTAAGGTATGTAAATTGAATTTGAGAAAAATTCATTAAACAGAAACACGAAAACATAATTAAAGACATGTTACATTTTCTCATTGAATTGATCATCCGAAATGAATGTTCCCATTACACTGTGTTGGATATATGGATTGTCTATGAACGTCAAACCGAACTCACATCATTATTAACAGTATCAGGCTAAGATAAAACCAGTGTTTCCTTCGTTCTAATGTTGTTGTTTTTTCATTTGATATCAATTAGGTGATGAAAAGTAACTATTTTAAGACCTAATGGTTTTACCGATGTAAATGGAATAAAGTTGAATATTGAAAGGATTATTATTAGTTATTTCTAGTCGTGTGATAAATAAACAGTACCTGAGCAAAGTCTACTTAAACAGCCGTGATTTTGATATTATGCGACAGAAGTTTACAAACTTTAAAGAAGATAGAAATGAAACAATGTTAACCAGTTAAGATTCACTGTTAATATGATAACACAGTCAAATACATGCTAAATAACACAAAGTCAATCAAAATTATTGAATCTGTTTTAGCTAATATCTGATAATTAGATTTATAATTGAATACTGGTAAATTAAGAAATTTGGAATTTTTCTCTGGGGGGGTGGAGTTGTAACTTTTAAACCACAAGAGATAAGCTAGTATACTGAAATGTATTTAACTTTCCATGTATCATCTAAAACATTCATTTGAATCTTACTCACTGTATCTTCTTGATAAGGGTATCCGAGGAGATATTGGTGCCCCAGGACTTATGGGACGTACTGGTGCTCGTGGAGCAACTGGACCTGCAGGTCCAGCAGGAACACCTGGTCAAGTTGGTCCTGCCGGAGCAGATGGTCTTCCTGGAGCTCAAGGTCCACCAGGTCCACAAGGTCTTCCAGGTGAACCAGGTGCTATTGGTCCAACTGGTGATAGAGGTGAAGTAGGTGAAGCTGGAATACGTGGAGGAGTTGGTGAGCCTGGCAAGCCTGGGCTTGATGGAAAACCTGGACGACCTGGGGAACAAGGAATTCAGGTAAGAGAAAAATATATGGGGACTGCAATATACCCTTATTCTGGCTAACATTTTAATATCGATCTTTTACAACAGAGTACTTGTAACTGAATAAATATACCATGCTATCTACCTTTTAGCGGATAAATTCACATGTTCAACTTCAATGAATTCACAGGATAGCATAATAATAACTGACTATAATGATTGACAGACTAACTCCTCACATTCAAATTAGTTTAGTTTTAGATTATACAGTATTAAGAAAGTTCAATTGATTTATAAAATAAGTTTTAATTTATGGACTATTGAATAAATTACTGAATAAGATTAGTGAATACTCTGTTTAGTCGTTTTTTTTTCTTCAAATCAAGTGATGAAACTAGAATAGTTTCAACTTAAACAATCAACTTATTTCAGCCATAACATAATGATCATTGAACTTGGATAAATCTATTTACATGTCACTACAATTTGAATATTGTTCCATAAAGTTTTTGTAGAAAATTTCATTCAAAATTAACTTTTAATAACATTAGAAATCGTTGATGAAAACGATTAGATTGTTTAGCTATCACTTATTTTGTATAAAAAAAGGTGTATTACATGCAAAGAGAAATAAAACAAATATAATATTCATTGTAAAATGTGACTAATCGTCAAATGCCTTCCATCAAAGTTTGAGTAGATAGTTCTCTCATTTAGTTATTGCGCTATTTGAACTACTCGTTATCCATGACTGTATGGTATTTTATAATGTTACGGAAAAACCTGTCACTCGGGACCTTTTCGAAGCTTTTAGAATAATATTTATTCATAGAAATTATCTTTACTGGTAAATACTTTTGGACTAGAAAAGTTCACTCTGGTCTAAAATGATCATTTTTAACCTTCTTTTGACTTCTATAGGGTCCACCTGGAAAAGATGGTGTACAAGGACAAAAAGGTGATATAGGTTTTCGAGGAGCACTAGGACCAGAAGGTATGCCAGGTCCACGAGGAGCACCTGGTACATCAGGTTCACCAGGTGAACAAGGAACTAAGGGATCCATCGGGGTTTCTGGACCTCCAGGAAATCGTGGACCTCAGGGAAACTCTGGTCCTCCAGGTGTTATAGGTCCTCGTGGCTTACCAGGTAAGTGATTCGCCTTTTTATCATAAACACTATGAAAGATACATTGGAATAAACAAATTAATCATAATAAAGTTCAAACCAATTTTCGAAATATTTTAAAACTGAAATCGTTGTAATAAAATTATTCAGGTCCTGTTGGAGAAGTTGGAAAGCCTGGCATCCCCGGTTCTCAAGGACCTCCTGGAGTAAAGGGATCGGCTGGAGTAGCTGGTTCTCCGGGTGCTCCTGGACGACCAGGTATTGATGGAAGACCGGGAATCCCAGGACCTGCTGGGAAAAGTGGCCCAATGGGAAAAACTGGACCGAGAGGAGAACCTGGTCAGTCAGGACAAGATGGCAAACCAGGAAGGATTGGTCCTCCCGGCCCACCAGGAGAAAATGGGCGGGATGGGAGCCCGGGAGCTTCTGGTCCACCCGGTCCACGAGGTCAGCCGGGCAAAGCTGGAGCAAGTGGCCATCCAGGAACTACAGGAGCAAGTGGACCACCAGGGCTACAAGGAGACATTGGACAACAGGTAGGTTTTTCATTAGTATTCCGTTCAGTTACTGAATCACTTGACAAATAATTTTTTCTATGAAGTTTACTTGATTATTCACCATTTACTTTATAACGGTTAATAAATTAGATTAACGGCTGTAATCCCTACTTTTTCAGTAATTATAAAAATTGTAGAGTCTCGACATCTTCAAGACACGTTCTTGATTTTTATCTTTGAATGATACAATATAATTTAACAAATTTAGAAAAAGTTTAGTCAGATACTTAACTTGAATTTTATTTTATTTTAGGGTCCTCAAGGTGAACGAGGCCTTCCTGGATCAGTAGGCCTACCTGGTCCAAAAGGAGAGAAAGGTGAAAAGGGTCCATTAGGTGAAGCTGGTGCTCTTGGTGATGCAGGTCCTCCAGGACCGCAAGGAAAACAAGGAGCTATTGGTGAAAAAGGACTTCCAGGTTTGATAGGAAATGTTGGTTCGCCAGGTTTACGTGGACCTCGAGGAGATCCTGGACCGTCCGGTGACCCTGGGAAGGACGGAACACCAGGAATAGACGCACCGGATGGCGAAGTTGGTATGGCAGGCCCAGAAGGACCACAGGGTCCTGTGGGTCCAGCAGGTCTTCCAGGACCTCAGGGTTTGCCCGGTATAAAAGGAGAACCTGGCAGTATAGGACCGATTGGGATACCTGGACGAATGGGAGTGATGGTTAGTCTGTTTTATTTATAAGCCAAACTTTGCTAATCTCTCAGTGACTGTACATAAAGGTGGCAGAAACAAACAAGTTATTATGCGTAACTGACAGTAATGGCTGTTTTCACTAATTGATGGGAACGAATAATTGCGTTTGGATTTGAACGGTTATTATGTATTCATTAAAGTAGGGAGAGTGAGATCTGTGTTAGTAGTAGTAGTGTCCAAATATAAATTAGTAGATCATATTATACTATACTATATACTATTTTTTACCATTGCCGACACAACTAAGTAGGAAAGAGCTTTCTCAAAGACGTGAGAGACTGGTGCATAGGAGAAAACACACCACATGGACAAGTTAACAATTTACTTTAATATTATTCATATGGACTTCGATTCAGTTATATTTTTTGTAAAGAAGTGGATACATTCGCAATCTATTTCTGTGTGTGAGGCAGACGAACGCGTTGGCAGTCTACTCTTGTACAGCTGCACTTTCATATCACGTTTGGAAACTTCGTCAAAACTTAAAGGAGCTAAAAGCTGTAATGAATGCATCATTATGGAACGTGGTACAGCCACAAGTATGCGTCACCGGTCTATACAGAATGCACAAGTCATACACACACATGGACAGGTGAACGCCGTCGCAGGTATTCAATACATGCGTTTGTAGAGCTCATACACTAAGGACTAAAAAATCCATAGTATGCCGGTAAGTGTAGATGCTATTTCCCCCAGGCAGACTGTAGTCCAGAGGTAATGAACAGTGAACGAATGACTAGCACTCAAATCAAATGTGTTGCCAGTCATCTATTGACGATATACTTTTTCATGCCCATACCACACACAAGTTTAGAGTCGATCCTTGTACACTGGTTAGGGCACAGTTTATGGTCACTTGCTTTGGTTTGCATCGGACTTAATGGGTTTTCTTAGATAATTCGCTCAGGCACTTAGAGGAAAACTGACTTCCTGAATCTCACTTTTATCTATACAATAAGTATCTTTATGATAATCCTTATGTAAGATGGAATTAGGAACTAACCCTATGTCTACCTCTTCATTCATATTAGCTCATGAAACAGAGTCCTTCTGTCTTCGGTCACCGTACAAAAGTATGAGTTGAACTTCTCACTAACAAGATAATAAAATATGATAAAACTTAAAATTTAGCCTACCTAATATAAGAGCTGTATGTGACACAGTTTTTACTTACTGATTCAAATTATTTGAATTTTTTTATATCAAAGATTAGTGTTGACTATGTAGCTTTTTCTAACTATACTTGGTTTTATTATATTTCATTTGTTGAATTAGAAATTTTTATCACCCATGCCTCAACAAATTGATGTGGTCAGATTTTTTAAAATGCATCAGTAACATGGTCCTGAAACAATCCATTCTTTTATTACCGCACTTTTACCTACCATTCATTGTTTAACATCTTCTTTTAGGGAATACCGGGAGCCCCCGGGCCATCTGGTCCGACTGGTCCACCAGGTTTTAAAGGTGATCGAGGTGTGTCAGGAGCACACGGAATCCCGGGGAAGGATGGTCAGCCCGGGAGTCCTGGACCTATTGGAGCCAGAGGTCCACCTGGTGCAATTCATGTAAGTGGAAGGTCATTGGGAATCATGGGGCCACCTGGCCCAGTCGGAGATAATGGTGTTCAGGGAGAACCAGGAGTTCCAGGCATGCCTGGACAGCTTGGTCCAGTTGGTCTTCAAGGTCCAAGTGGAACTCCTGGAAAACGTGGACCATCAGGTGCAGCTGGACCACCTGGAAGCCCAGGTGCAAATGGTCGTGCAGGGATAAGAGGTAGAGCTGGTAGCGCAGGACAACTGGGTGGACAAGGTCCTCCTGGTGTTCAAGGTCCGGCGGGTGTCCCAGGAGTAAGAGGACCTCAAGGGCCTCGTGGTCTACCTGGAAGACAAGGTACTCAAGGTATCCCGGGGAAAGCTGGATTAAGTGGCCCTCAAGGTGAAACCGGCCTACCTGGCAAACCTGGAAAACAAGGTCCGACAGGACCACCTGGACCAGCAGGCAAAGATGGCGACCCTGGAGAACCAGGCACGCCTGGAGCAGTAGGTGAACCTGGCGATGTTGGTAGTCCTGGAGCACCTGGACGGGATGGACCAATCGGGATGATTGTAAGTTTTGTAAAGTCATTCACTGAACCTTTTTATTAAACTTGTCAGTGTTTTAATAGTTTATGGAGCAAAAGTGAACCATATACTAATTCAACATAAACTATCCTTCAAAACGGATACATGATATGTACAATCTATTATCACGGGTAGAATATTTCGAATTAAATGGTAACCTAATATTTACATAGAATAAATAGATTTAATGGCTAACAATGGAACCTGATTATTGATCTCACAATCCTATTTAACGCATAAACTTATTCAAGTGAACACTTCATATTTAGTCATCCCAACATTATCGATTTATATTACAGTTCATCCTAAATTCACGAAGTTTGGTTTTTAATGATACGTTTCGCATTATACTTGATCACTTTAGAATTATCAATTGGATTATGTTATTGTAAAACTTGAAGAGAATTTATTGAAAAGAATATTCTTCGTTTTTAATATGCTTGAGTTTTAATAGTTATTGTTATCATTTTGAGAGAAAAGTCAATTTGAAGATCATTTTAATCGTTCTAATTCAGTGATTAACGCTTAAATGAAACAATAAGGGATCAATGAATATTTTGTATAAAACACGTTCTTGTATCAGCTTGAAAAATATTTGTGTACATAAAATATTGTTTAGGTAATTTAAGTGATTGATTATGAAATCTTCCTAAATATCTAAAAATAAACAATAAATCATCGTTTACAGTTGCTTATTACGGTGTACACAAATTGATCCTTTAATGCTTAATGGTGACTGAATTGTGTTGGTCAAGTTGAAGTATTGAGGCCAGACCAAAACATGGCAGAAATCCATGAATTTATTGACAAGTGGACTGAGTCATGTCAGTAGGTGTCGACTACCTTGTTGGGCTCCGCGAGATGATAGTAATCGATGGTCAGAGACCCTGAATGACATAGCTCAAAACCGTTTGCAATGGCGCCGGTGCATTCATTCTTTTTGTTCTCTCAAATCCTAATCTTCTGAATTCCTCATCACTTTATCTTTATCTTTGTAAGTCTATTGCACTAGATTCTACTTATTGAGTAATATCTTCGAACCCTAGTCTCTCTGACTACTGCTAATACTTTCACTACCTCTACTACTATGGGATTTGAATTGACAATTGCATCTCTGTGCTAATGTGGTATGGCAACATGAACTGATGTACGTACGTACGAAGTTCTACGTTGTTATTGATTGATTGATTGAGTATTGCTACAACTAATCTAACTGACTTAACATCAGTATTCATTTCGGTTTTTTAATGTTCGTTTGTGACTCAGACATTCGGATAACTGCGTGGTCACATATATGTCTGTGACGTCGAATCCCTCATTTATGACGCCCAAAGATCTCAGATACATTTACTAACAAGTGCTAATTATTGAAAAAAAAATAAGGTTACTCCTACTTCTTGACTAACTCTAACAGTCTACCCTAATTATAAATTCTCTAGTAAAGTTTTCCACATTTGACCAGAAATGTATATCCTGTCATCATTTGGATTAATTTATGATTTTATTGATGGTGCCTCTAATTGAGTTCACTTAACTTTACAGTTCAGAAGAAGCAATATCATTAATGTTTAAAGCATCCACATTTTGACTATAAACTTTATTCTGTTTTCATCATATTTCACGGTTTAATTTAACTTCATTTGATTTCACCTTATCGTTCAGCCTGTAAATAGTTTCGACGAGTATTTGAATTCAAATTCTTACAACATTACTAACAGTATCACACAGTTCTTAATATTTCTTACCTTCATTGTAATGATTTTTGTCAGGTAAGTATAATTAAAGCAACTAATTGAGAGCACTACTATTGATTTGATGCTAACGAACGAAATACAAATAAAACCTGTATCCTTATAAGATCAGATGAAATTACCCCAAAATTTGTTAGTTTAAACTATGAAATCAAATCTTATCGTAGTGTATCGTTGTGAAATATTTGACCTACAAATCTATCTATCTAATTTTTATAGAGAAATGAATGTTTTTGTCAGTGGTTTAATGCAACTAAAAGGTTATGATGAAAAGTACATTCGAAAATATGAGTCAGAAATTCAAAAAGATTGTAATATTGAATGGTAAAATTAATCGATAGCAATTAACAATGACACAAACATGATATCAGAATAATCTGTTAAATGAAACTCAAATCTGATCACAGTAAGGTTTTTGGCTGAATGACATGAGTGATAGAAATTTGAAGTCTTTGGGTTTTCATTAAACATTGAAAACCACACATCATAGAGTCTTACAAAACTCATCACCTAGCTGATTTTCATATATAACATAGTACTAGAGAAAATCAGCTGAGGATAGAATAGCTCAATGATAATGTCTGTAATTGTTCTTTCAACTTACACTAACTGATAGTGACAGTATAAACTTCTTCAAAGTTATCCTTATTGTACGTTAATTATTGAAAAGATGCAAAAAGTCTCTATCAAAGAATTGATATCATTTAATTCAGATCGTTCAACCCAATTTAAAACCTGACAAGTTATATTGCATAAGTATTTTCTGATGAAGCTGAAAGTTTCCAATAGTAAACAATGTATAAAACGGATCGACAATTTACACGCATACAGTTGTTCATCTGTTAGGATATTTATCCAATATCCTAAGAGAATTATTGGTCAATTCCTTCTGGTCAATTTCTACTGGTCAATTTTATGATCGTCCTAGATATCAATGTTACGTACTCCAATGTTGTTTCTTATCGGTGGTCCTGACTGTCAATGTCACTTCAAATGTTGGTTCCTATTCGTCGTCTTAACTGTCAATGTCACAGAGTCCGATGCTGTTTCCTATTTGACCTAAATGTATAAATACGCGTTATCTGTAACGCTTTATGACCAAGACCCGGACTCCTAGTTCGGGATCCTGATTCTCTTCTGGACTCGGACCTCGTACTTTCTGGATGCCTGTAGAATACGTATTCTACTTCATATCAAGTCTTCATTTTACTCAATATGGGGGTTGGAACAGTCGGATTAGAGTAGCATGTCGTGTCACCGGATCCTCGCTCTCGTTTCCCGACTAAGGTAAACTCGTAGTAGTTCAAGCATATCACACTGACGTGTTTGCGTGCATGCGTAACAGCACTTAAGGGACTTCTAATATCATTAAAAATAAAAAACTAAGATTTAACATTTTGATAGAGAACTTATAAATGTCAGCTGGCAGACTGATGAACTATTTCTTATAAATGTTAACTCCATTAGATACCAGTAAGCTAAACATTTGTAAATGACTTTTATCCAACTCTAACTTATGCAGAAAGTAAACCAATGAGTCACAGTGTGGAAGTTAGAGAGCTCTTAAGAAATGAAATACAACACAATATAAATAGTTCAAGCAACACACATGTTATTTAATAGAATATTAATAGCCCAACAATAGAAATTAATATGTTTGGTATTATGATTATTTTCTATTTTATTTTCGAAACCCAGGGTATGCGTGGATCATCAGGAGGACCGGGGCCAAGAGGACCACCTGGCCCACTTGGTCTAAGTGGCCCACAAGGAGCGGCTGGACCAACTGGACCCCAGGGTCCTCAGGGGCCAAGAGGAGCGAAAGGAGCAAAAGGGCAGCCTGGACCCGAAGGTCCTGAAGGACCACCAGGAGAAGACGGAGAACAAGGGCCTGAAGGTTTAGCTGGACCTCCTGGTGAACCTGGACTTGATGGGCCACGAGGACAAAGAGGTACTCCAGGTCCTTTAGGCCCAGTTGGAGAAGTCGGGCAGCCTGGTCAAGATGGTCGTCCTGGCCCACAAGGAGAACGTGGTGTTTCCGGTAAACCCGGACTTCCAGGGCCTCCTGGAGCAAAAGGTGCTGCTGGCGAAACTGGCCCAGATGGGCAAGATGGATCAAGTGGTCTTCCAGGAAGCCCAGGTGGTCGAGGTCATCCTGGATGGTCTGGGCCTCCTGGACCACCTGGTCCTCCTGGTCCAGATGGGTTACGAGGAGATCCTGGTGAAATTGGTTACCCTGGAAACCCAGGACCACCTGGTGATAGTGGACCCATCGGTGAGAGTGGAACCAAAGGTCCTAAAGGACAAAGAGGAGAAACAGGTCCACCTGGCCCACCAGGTCCTTCAGGTAGAGATGGATCTTCTGGACCTCCTGGACCAATGGGACCTCCAGGACCTCCCGGACCACCAGGCATGCCATCTGTACAACTACCGACAATTAGTCGAAGCACTAAAGCTGGAAATATCTACGCAGACGATCCACTGGCAGGAAGAATCATGGGAACCTATGAGCCATCAAGACCAAGGGGAACGAGATCTGCACCTGCTTTAACATGTAAACAATTAGGTGAATATAACAACAATCTACCTGATGGTAAGTTAAATAAACAATATTCATTGTATGCTTAGCAAGATTAGCGCCAAGTAATTTATCGAACAATAATACCAGAATGATCAGATTTATCTGCATTTGTACTGAGTTAAAATAGAACCTCTAATTAATTGTATTGATCAGTTATTTCTAAAATAGTTAAAACTATTGTGTGTACAATTCAATATTTTTATCATATAATTCCAGAGTATACTCTTAAATTTATTGTGAAATAGTTGAAATTAAAAAAAACTTCTAATGATTATATGAGTGAATCTGGTTATAAATTCTGTTTATACTTGACAAATATAGACAATATGACTAGGAAAAAATCTTTATTCAACACTAATGTAATCTTATCTTCGAATTCTACTACTTAAATTGACGATAACTATACAATTTTAAGTGTGATGATTAAAAGACGCTTTGAAAATAAACGATTGCATTGATCTAACTGAACTGAAACATATGCAACACTAATGAATACCGGCTCAATGGTCTAGCGATTAAGCTTTCATCTATGAAACCAAAGACATTGAGTTTAATATCCTTGATTGTGTGGTTTTGGATGTGTACTCCCGAGGAGCCACGGACTAGAACAAAATCGTTGCACTGTTTTTCCTAGATTTTATTGGTCATTTAACTAAAACTAGTCCTTGATGTAAAGTAGTTAAATTTTAGTACAAAACATTTACAATCTAGTATATCAGTTCGTAAATGAGAACGTACGGGCATAGATTTTCTTCTAACGATTAGTTTTATTTAACTTATTTTAACACATTCATAACTTTCTTTACTGTATCAATTATAAGATTATTACTGGATTGATCCAAATGGAAATGAAATTAACGATGTTGTACAAGCTTATTGTAAATTTAAAACACGTGAAACATGTATACGATTAAGAAGAAAGTCGCTGAATTCAGACAGTGGAAATTCAACTGAACAAGAAAATAATTTAAGAAGTCAGTTTTATGAAGTAAGTTATCAAAATGATGACAGATAATTGTGGACTATCTAATTGACTAGTAATTAAATTGCACATATTTTTCATTTTATGCCTTTCGATTTAAATATTCAAAAATTAGTTTACAATCATTTCAGTCCATTGTGTTTTGAATGTTTGAAATCTTCTCTTTGATCAGCCTGTTTTGGTAATATTTACCTCCTGATCGGACTATCTCTATGTTGTCATTAAGACACAAGCATTGTGGAGTAGCAATAGATGGTGGTTGGAATTGGAATTCAAGATGCGATTACATCTAGGTGAAGAGTTCCAAATGGGACAAAACGCACAAACTAAATTCCAATGCTAACCACTATCCATTTTTGCTTATAATCATTTCAATCCTTATTCAATAACTAAATTTATGTTGTCATTAATAAATGTATTACTTGATTGCTACTCTGAGCAACATTAACAAAGTCTAATATCATAATTACAATTCATTATACTGAAAGCTATAATTAGAACAGTGGTAGGTCATTTATTAGCTGTTATTATGATCAGATTAAATTATGTCGTCAATCTAATTTTTGTCTACATATCGAGCTGAAATAACCGTATATTTAATCTTACGAAATGAAATGAAACTTTGCTTGTATGATTTATTGAAATATTTATGAAATTGTTAAATTTCCTTCAAAGAATATATTCCTAACTACTGAAATGGTTTAAGTCTTAAGTTTGTAATCGTTTATTTAAGCAATATCCTGAGGTATTATTTTTATTTCTGGTTATAAATTTTTTTACATACATGTTGTACTCATTGAATACTAAGGTTCTTCAAACGGTCCTCAAAGGGTGTCACAGTGCTAATCAAAATATCATACTAATATTGTTTTGAAAATCTAAAAAAAATGATTACAAATATACTGTTTAATAACATTTTTGAACAATACAAATTTAAACGTTGAAAACCGTTTTCCCATTGACTTACAGTAATAATCGAAAAACATTCGCAATAATTTGTAGTGATTACTAATAAGTGTAGGTTGATCTAAACATCGGTTATCTCTTTCAATTTCTCAAGGTTATTCTCATTAATTTTCATTATTCACTTTTTGCTTGGAAAAGGTATTTAAGATGAGCTCTTATTTTCTTGGGCATAATTTACTTACTTCTCGCTGATCAGCTGCTTTTAGAGAAACGAAACTTTCACCCAATCAAGAAAACACAGCCATTTCACCAGTAAATGAGTGACTTTTCATTCAAAGCCTCATTTACTGTTAGAAAATAGTAGTGGTAATATTATGATCACTAAAGTTGTCGCCTGATATTCAAATAAATATTTAAAAAGTAATTCCTCGAATCTGTCATAACATATTCTGAGTCCTAACTATTTAACAAATTTTAAATCAGGTAAAACATAATATTGTTACGAAAATCATATAAATTCATTCTGTTTCATTAAACTAAAGCTGAGAAAGACACATGAGTTGTCATTACGAATCAGGCTACCGAAACTAGATTATTAAAACTACTTCATTATAATATCATTCATCGATTGCTTAACTCAATAATTTAAACATAAACTGGTTCATTCCTTTTCTTCAGACAACTAATCCTTAAAAAAACTGTACTCATTTTTAGAACTCAACTAATAATATACAAGTCATTGCCTCGAAAATATCTCTCATTAAAAAAACTAACATCAGATATAAAAGTATTGAATTATTATTACTTTTTTAATTTTAAATGAAAACAATTCCCGCTGAAAGTGTACAAGATAAAACGTAAAGTATTTATTCCTTGCAAGAAACAAGTAATCATCTAGAGATATTTTCAAAAAGAATTATGTTTTCTGGTTAGCGTTTTTTTTAACGAGTTAGATTTTTATGGGATGGGGTCGCCAATTCCAAGCGCAACCCTCCTCCTCTTTCTGGGCTTGAGACCGGAAGTATCCCCATAGGGGCTCCTGGCGGAGTTACTACTTAAAAGAACCAACCAATTAGTTTTTGTTTACTTTCAATCAATCCTTCTGATTTATATTGGATATATTATGAATTTATAAGCTTATATTAATGTTTTATTGATGAAAATTCTAACATTATAGTTTCATTCAATATAATTTTCATTTATCCTTAGCTAATCTACGAATTGGAAGGAAGTCAACTGGAATATTTAAAACGGCATAGTTTAATAGGAACACAACAAATTTATGAAGAATGCTCAAAGAAGACAAATGAAATACCACTGGTGGAATTGTCAGTTACATTATTTGCTGACAATGGAAATGAACTATCTTATGGTCATCCGTATTTTGGATATGAAATTGTTCAAAATACTTGTCATGTATGTCTCTGACTGAAATTATCATATTTTATTAAATAAAAATCAAGAGAATTTAGTGAAGAACACTTTCTTTTCAAAAAAATCATATACTATACATTCGTATTTATAGTTAGTTGTTTGATACGTAAATGAGACCATAGAAGGATAGAAGAGAATGCTACGGAAACTGAGCCAAGATTGCAAATATCAAAGGCATAATGATTTCGAGAGATATTTTAAATCTTGGATCACTTGAGGTCGCATTCGCTTCTATCCTTCTATAGTCCCATTTACGTATCAAACAACTAACTATCAATACGAATGTAAAGTATATGATCTTGTTAATAAAAAAAGTTTTCTTCATTGAATTATTTTCCTATTTATTCGGAGACTCAGTTGGTTATTTTCATAATCATGTTTTAATTTTAGTGAGAAATATTTTTGAAGGTAATTTCTCGTCATAACTTGGTATCAACTAGATAACTATTGAATGCTATAAAGCTTTGAATGAATGCTTCGATTTAAATTTGAAGTTTATTGACAATGTATATCCTACTTAAGGTGTATCTTACGACACTTAGTTAATTGATGATAAAAAATGTTTTGAATCTAAAATTTTCATGTTATAAGTTAGCACTTGTTGTTAACTTCGAATGTTACGTCATTGAAATCTTGAACCAATCAATGTTGTATTTCCGAATCTGATAAACCGCATCACAAAAATATATCAAGGTGATATCACTTTAAATTCTAATGATAACACGAATCAGTCATCGTTAGACCACCATTAGAAACCTGGAAGCACTGAAAGACAGCCGTATCGTCCTGGTATGGGACTCATCAGCAGCGCGCATCCACGACTCCTGCACCTTACAGGATTTGAAACCTAGACCTACGGTCTTGTCCACGAATGCCTAACGAGACGGCCGTCCGGCGCTTACAGGTTTCTAATGGTGGTCTCACAATGATTAATTGATGATTTCAATGGTTAAAAACACTAATCTCCATAACTTTAATTGAAAAAAATTATAACGACAACGTTAATAATAACTGTCCTATCAATTAAATGATAATTTAACAATTTATAAATCCTTTTAAGTTTTAAAAAAACCAGGTAACATTTAGTTGTGAGTTTTATTTCACAAACAACTCTACTACTGTGAACACAGTGGAAAATCGTAAAAATCTTTCCCCTATGAATAAATTATAAAAACTGAATACTATAATAGCCATCAGAAATAAAATCATTCATTATTCATTATTGATAATAACTCTAGCTACTCTGTTGTTGATATGATGATAGATGGTGGTATGCATTCATGCGTAGTTCAGTTTCTGTCTATGCTTATGTTTGTACAAACACAAAGCTAAAAGTTGGTTGGGGTGGCAGGTAGTAGTTTAACATAGTTCTCAAGAAAATTATTAATAATTATCCTCTACCTTAAAAAGAAAACACCATGCATCACTAAAACTACTTGAACATAGAATACAATTCTCTTAGGCATTGTTTTCAGTTTTAAAGTGTTTAAATTTAATGTCAAATAGATATAAGTTACCATTCATAACTGTATGTAACATCCTGCCTTAATATCACTTCATACTAATACTTATTTTGGAGTCTATCAAGTTTGTAAAATATTCATTAAATAAAATTCTTAATTATTATGGAACTCTATAAGTACAAAACTATTCAAATGCTTGCGTAAGACTTGGCAGTGGATATATATATATATATGGGTTTTCACAGTGTTTATTAATTATAACTGTTATATGCATAAATCAATGTGTCGATACTTTTCTGATTGTTTAAACCATGAAAAATTCAAAATCACTCAAACAGCCATTAAAAAAAACACCTTAGTCAAGTATAAATATATACTTGTTTGTCTAAGACTAAATTAATTTCTAATGTTTTCTAATAGTCAAACAACAAGAATGGAATTTGAAACACTTTAAAAAAGTTTATTCAAAATTTACTCTGTACCTAAATTACTATTTTCCATGTTTTAAACAGTTTTGATTCTTTCAAAATTTTGAGAATTTTATCCATACGAAATTAAAATCATGGTGTTCAAAAATCACCACAAAATCATTTCGCTTAAAAATATTAATAAAAATAATAATAAAAAGAACGATTAATTCACTGAAAGTGCTGGTGTATAACGTTGATCGTAGAAATCAACCACAGAGTAAGAATGCAATAATAATTCAAAGGTGGCATTTAATAGAGATTATATTTATTGTAATTATTATGCACCACTTGAATTTCAAATAGTGTTGATATTTTTTGATTGAAATTCATTCAGTTTTAGTTGACATATTGTGTATCCTGTGCAGATTAACTGGATATAGCCATTTATAAGACAAGTTTATATAGAATAATTAGAATGTAGCTAACAGAGGAATCCATGACAAGCGTTTCCTCCTATTATTTAGGACTCGTTAGTTGTATGTACCTTAATTTCAGAGATGATATTCACTCCGTGACTTGAACTGAGTACCGTAGTGAAACTTGAGTCATGGATTACACTGCCAGCTACATTCTACATATTCTATTTAGACCACTGATTTATTGGCATAGTTATTATTTTAGAAAATTCTCACATCAGTGTGAACTACTTGCACATTACTTCAAAATCATCAAAGGTTCTTTAATTGATTATAAGAAAAATAATTTTCATAAATACAAAATTGTTTATTTACTCATTAAGTTGAGCTATATATGTCAAAATCATAATTTCAGGTTAAAAGACATGATTTAAATAGTCCAAGTTAGCAAAAAAAGAATAAAAATCAATCAGTACGAATTTCTAACCTTTACAACCATGTTTAAAAAGGACATAAACTGTTTATTTATGCAATTAAATTAAAACTAGTCAAAATGACAAACCTTTTTTAGTGTTTCGAAACTTTATAAAACCAATACGAAATTATGAATAATAAAAATGACCTCAAATTACTCATTGACAAACACCAATCTCTTGCCTCCTCTTTACTGACTAAATATTAGAAGATCGGATAAATGACCACTAATTTACTAATCAATCAAAAATGATAATAACTGATATTCTAAAAAGAATAAGACAATATTACTAAGAATTAAAATGGATTAATGAATAACTACAATTAAATACTATCAGATAATGTCTGACTATGAAATAAATTCAGTCATTTGATTATTCTAGCGAATTTATGATCAGTAATTTAATAATTATTGATTGCTATGATACTAACAGCTGATTAACCAATTTTGTCATTGATTTTTTACATGTTCAGTATGTTGAGAGAGTTCCTCATTTCCTATAAAACCTCAACAGATAAAGTTAGAATATAAATTCTTTGTTCCTTAAAGTTATTCAATCATAATTTACAAACTGTAAGAGCAAACAATGATTTTAGGGTGTCTGTTATTATGCCTAGGTAAAAAATTTACTATGAAATACCTCATTGATGAATACTCCTCGAAATTCTACGAACCCAAGCTATATATTTCTACTAATTCTGCTCGCTTTCATTATTTCTAAACTTTCAGCTTCCATCTGGATTAAAAACAGATGCATTTTTGATCAAAGGTTCAACAGCCCGATTTCCAATACGTGGTATACAAATACTCGATCCGAAAACTTCCTATAATTCAATTCAGATCGGAGAAGTGTGTTTTCAGTGAACAAATAAATCAATAAACTAACCAGCATGAACAACTAATATATTCTTCTAATTATGAGGTTGTGTGTGTGTGTGTGTTTATGTAATTATCAAAGAATAGATGGATATGCATTTTGATTTTCTCTAAAGTCTTATCTAACTCTCTTTTCTTTCCTTCTCTGTATTTGCATAATTGATTTTGGCTTCAATTAAAGAACAATAATTAGCTAAGTTAAAAAAAAATGGAACAATAGAAGCTGCATCTTATCAGAACAGTTTTTCCCTCAAAAAAAATCTTAAAAACATGGAAAAGCCATTATTATTCAATTTCTACAATAGCTATCTAAAAAGTATTTCGACTTTATTTTTTATACTACTAGAAAGTAGGCAGATGTAACTATAGGAATTTATGAAGAAATTTAAAAGATGCCTAGATAGACAATAAATTCAGTATTTGATAAGAAGTGATAATAATAAAAGAATACAGTTAACGTTTTGCAGGAAAACGTCTCTGTGAAACCAATAAGTGAAAGAACTTAAAAGTATGTATCTACAGTGTTCATTTCATAGAGCATTTGGTTGAGAAAGTTTGGTAATAAACCAACTAAGAGTATGAATTGTCCGCCTAATGTTCAGTAAATCCGATTGAACTGTTTCAGAAATTCATCTATAATTACAGAAATTAATGATGCAAAGTTAAACTATCTTGAAATATCTTCATACTTTTATCAGGTACATTGGTATCATTTCAACCAGGAATTAATCAAAGTTAAGGTTTCAAACTGTTTAGCTGGATGACTCACGCTCGAATCTTACACTAATCATCAGTTACCTTGAAACTGTTAACAAATATCAACTCACATAAAACTTAGGTCAAGAAGGAATTGCTCTTGACAAACTCTAATGACCCTACATCTGATTACATACTGTTTGATGTCATAAACTATATTAACAACAATAATCACCTAAATAGTATGGTTAAATTGACTGGTTATATTTTCACTTCATCACTTCATCACTTATGATTTTGAGTCATTTACGGTGTGTAAATTCCTGAGAAAACTATAGCTCAACACTTTGTGTCCCTGGTTATGCGAAACATGGTCAGTTACATTTCGTAAACTGCTCAAATTTCGGATATGACTTTTAAAATGCTTAGCATGAGTTAAAAAGTTTCGTTAAAATAATTTCAAGTTATCTTGTTTCTATCTATCTCTCCGCATACTTCAAGATAATCCAACTATCCGATGGGCAATTCAGTGGTTACATTATATCACCTTTAAAAAATCGCTGACAGATCAACTTTTCTGTTTTACAAAAAAAACATTACTTACATCGTAAAAATATGATAGAAGGCAAATAATAATTACAAAATCAGTTAGAAGGATTTACTTTTTCATAAGATATTTTCCTTACATCATCATGATATGCACCAGAATACCTTGAAGATCTTGTTTGGTTCTGGGTTAACATATATTAATAATTCAAAGATTATTGTTATCTAAATGAATGCTCTGAAGAAAAGTTTAATCGGGTCAAAAATAACAATGCTGTATCAGTTTGTCATTCAGTAGTTAAACTGCTAGGAAATTTGAATTCTTCGCTAAAAACAATTACCGATTCGTTTTTATATGGTAATTTAGCATCCTATACTCTATTTCACTCCTCATTTCTAAATCCATCATTATCGGCCGAGTATGCAACCTGACACCAGACTAACTGGCTCAATATCTCTAACAATCACAACTAATTATTTAACGAATCTTGTTTCTTCCATTTACATTCAGAAATCAGTAATTATTGTATATTTCCCAAAAAATTACTTTGCATCATTCATTCATTGCACAATTTAGATAAATTGTTACTAACTTTACAAGTCGATGTCATTTTCTAATCTAATAATCATAACTGGCTTTCGATTTTCATTCTACTTTAATCCTTAATATATATAACATACTCAGTCAAGCAACAGCAACGTAGAACTTCGTAGGTACGAACGCACATCAGTTCAAATTGCCATACTACATTAGCACAGACATATAATTGTAAATTCAAATCCCATAGTAGTAGAGGTTGTGAGAGTATTAGCAGTAATAGAAGAGATTAGGATTCGAAGATGTTATTCAAGAAGTATAATTCAGTGAAGTAAATTCAGACAGAGAAAGACAGAGGTGATGAAGGATGCAGAAGGTTAGGACTTGAAAAAACACAAAGAATGTATGCACCTGCGCCATTGCAAACTATTTTGAGTCATATGGTTCAGGGTATTATTTCCTGAAACGTTTACTTCAAGGGCAATCTTAGAACAATAATTCACTGATTTGGTGGGCAAGAACCTTAAATGTGATTGTCAAATCTTAATTTCATGAGATTATAAGTGACCTATGAAATCCACGATTTCCGGTTGTATTTGTTTTCAATTGCTCCGGATCACATTTATTTTTCTATCTATGGTTTTGTGTGTAAACATGTTAGTTTACCAAAAAAATATCCTATTCTCTTAGCCAATTGTTTTATCTTTTGATAACAGTTCATTTTCAAAATAAACGAGTCAGGCATCATGAAACATTGTTAGTCATTTATTTCATATCACTAAAAAAGGATTTTGGGGATGTTAGATCCCCAGAACTCACTTGAAAGAGGTCCTGATTTTTGAATTTTTATGTTTCCGCGCATAAGTTGCTTAGGTGACCTTCAGCTTACATTCCCCACTAGGAAAATCCTTGACTGTCATTGGTTGACTGATAATTTTAGTACGCTATTTTTGTGGCTCTCCCAAGGACATTTCTATCATGTATAAATAAGCTCGATTTGTACTCTTGTTGACCTCATATTTTCTGGGTGCTTGTAGAATACCTTTTCTATGCCTTATCGAGACTTCTCGATATAGTTAGCCGTGCCGTGAATATACGGATTAGAATAGACTATCGTGTCACTGTATCATTTGTCTTCTCTCCGTTCACCGAGTAGGGTGAACTCGTAACCGCATTCAAGCAAATCACTTGACGAGCATATCAAATGACACATCTATTATTCAATTTTTTATTAATCACGCTAAAACTACACCCTGAAACTATGTTCCATATTGCAAATATAAATAACTGATTGTTTTGTTAAACATATTGATTGCTATCATCTTGTAACTAGAATAAAACCAGTTATTTTAATTAAGAGTAGTATTATAACATGTTTATCTACATTGTAAATCAATCAATTCATATTAGTGTTATTTCATTATTACAAAATGATAACAATGTCTATAACGACAAACTATAATTTCAATCTAATCCAAATGATAAATGAGCTAATCTTATTTCTTCTAGTTAATTTATTAAATCTGAAAGAAAATAAACTCATGCAAAGCAATGAAATGATATGTGTGATATGTCAACTTTTCAAGTTATATACAATCTAGATCTAACGTTCGGTGTTGTCATTTGTACAGTGGTTTGGCTTTACTCAAGTAAAAAACTTATCACGATCTATTCAAGAACTGAATCCATTATGCAGTGTAATTTATACAGTACAAAGGTGTACTTCGATAGTGATTTATTTGATAAGAATGAAAACCATCTTGGATAAATCAAAAAATGTAAAATTTTATTGCTACTTGTCAGAGTTTATGAATTTTCAGAAATAAAATCAACAACTCTCTTCTGGCGTATGAGCTTCTTGAGTGAATGGCTCACATTTGGCTGTACATATAAGTTAATTAGTTACAGTATCGAATCAAATCCAGAAAGAGCAATTTGTTTTATTCTGGAATTCTTCGGTTGAATAAACCTGAGTTCCATTGTTGTCATTCACACAAGACTGATAAAAAATGCAAACTTGTTCGGGAAGTAACCTGCATTATACTCATTGAACAGGTTGTTAGTTATCATGACTCAGTACTGTGGTGGTTTGCAAGTTGACTTTTGAGATTATAGATGTTGAGTTCTAATATTAGTATGGATAATAACACTGGAATGCTAGTGCATTCATTTGACAGGTCCCGATTAGAAGACTACAAGTTCATCCCTCATTACACTAGTTTCGGCTATCTAAAATATGATGAGATATATAAGATGATCTACTTATCAAAATAGCAGAAACCGAAACCCAATATATTTATCCATCAATCCGAACTCGTTTATTTACCTCCTTAAAAATTTAAGATTGAAATGTTAGGAAAAACGTTGAAACTATTCGATTCTGAAGTGCAAACTAAAATTTGGATTCAAAATTATAAACAATATATTAACACTTAACTGTTATTTCTATTGTTTGAAACAGTTTAGTAATAGTAGTACCGTAGTGGGTTACAGAAAAAGCCAAAGGATGAGGAGAGGGTGAACAGTTCTGGGGAGTTTCTATGTAGTCAAGCAGATGCGGCGTTAAATAAGTGGTTTCTGTCGACAGAGCAATGTTGGACTTCCTGGTTGCTGGACTGATAGCTAAGTTCGTTGACCCAACTAATCGGGAGAAATACGAGGGTCGGTGAGCCCCGGGGTTTGGCATTTTGGTGGATACTACTCACAACATGGTCCGTAAGTTACCACTGGAGGGAAGACTGTCAGATCCGAATGTAAAGTGCTATCAAAGTGTTTTAAGACTAGAAGGCTCTTGACAGAAGACAACTAATAATTTGCATGTTTTACAAATGGAAGTCTGGCTATAAGGTATACATATTTTCTTAGCAAACAATATCTTTCCTAAATACATAAATATTTCATCTGGCCTTCAAGTCTTCGTTCACTACAGTAATAATCGTAGCAGTAGTAATAAAGGCAGTATTTCGTGAGATTTTTGTCTAAATCTCCAATAAATGTTAGCGTTTCTAACTATTACGATACAAAAGCTATTTTAGTTCTAATCTTTCCGGTGGAAAATACTCTACTCATAATATTTTCATTGTTTTGCTTGATCACATCATTGGTACAATAAAGATAGTTATATAAATGGGAGAGATTCGAGAATATATTTATTACGTAAAACCTTATAAACATGATTTGCATTAAACAAAAAACCAAACATTACATTAAAGATAATAATAATCTACTTAAAAACAGATATTTAAGTTTAATATAAGTTCTAGTTATCAAACGAGTGTAAAAGAGGCCAGTTATATATTCAACAAACAGGTTATAAGAATGGGGACGTTTTCACTTCAATAGATCTATTGCTAATCTTCCTCGTTCGAACTAAGTTCATGTGAATGAATTACTCCTAACGTTGAGTTACAGATTCTATTCAATAGCCTTACACCATAACTTTTAGCTCCTGACTTATAGTTTAAGCAGTAAGAAGTGAGAATCCTGAAAATCAATAATCAGGTTTATAAAACACACGCACACATTGTATTATCACTTATTTTTGTTCACTTCTAAACTTTGCATTAAACAGTACACTCTCGA